AGAAATATTTGAGTCCTGGCCCTAGCATCAGATAAGCTGAGGATTTGTGTAAATATGCAAAACAAATCGCAATTACCCAATTATTTTTGGGTTGCTTCCACTCAAACATCCATGAAAATATTCAAACCCCAAATAATGTTGTGGCACTGTATAATTACCCAATGTATACATGTATCAACTTGTGTGCTATATTTCTTCACAGATCTGTATTTACTGATTAAATGCAGGCATCACATATACTTTAACTCTTGTTTACTGCTGTTGTGGCCTAGTGGTTAAAGCGTTCGCTCGTCACGCCGAAGACAAGGGTTCGATTCCCGACATGTGTACAATGTGTGAAGCCCATTTCTGGTGTCCCCCCACCGTGATATTGCTGGAATATTGCTAAAAGCGGCATAAAACCATACTCACTCACTCACTCACTCATAAACAAGAGGCTGCATCTTGCTTATTGTAAATTTAGTCATGTATATGGCTGTTGTGAGTTTATATGACATGTTACCATGGTTACGCACTTAAGGCATCAGATCTGTGTCACATTTAAACGGGTTAAATCATTCTGCCAACACCTCATGCTGCCTACAGTTTATAATCCACATACAATAAGTTTATTAGGAGATTAGTTCCACGTGATTGAATGCTTACTGAATACCTGTCTTCCCCTTCCCATAATGGACTAATCCTTTTAACACAAATTACAAAGACCAGTATATAAAGAAATGTGAATGCATAGCAACCTACTTTGTCTCATAACATAAAGTGTGGACTGGCATTTAGTGAAAACGTTTCACCTTATCTACTAGGGGTGAAATGATACAAGATATATTTTTTTCTGTATCTATACAAGACGATACACTTTGCATGGATCGATGCTCATGATATCAAGCACTGGATTGTCTGGTCCAGACTAAATTACTTACAGACCGCCGTCATATAGCTGGAATATTGCTGAGTGGGGCGTTAAACAACAAACAAACAAACAAACTTTCTAAAATACATTTCTCACTACTTGTTTAACGGCCCCAGTGTGTTTGTCTGTCAAATATCACAAAATGTGTTGTAATTAGAGTTTCAAGTTCACTACTGAAAATAGCCACTACAACATGTCCACAGCGTTTGAACCTGCTCTGAAATATTTATAGTCAAGTAGTTTCCATGCGAATTGAAGTATCGCTACATGTATCGTACCCTGATATATGTATCATGATATCATATCGTGACATTACTGTATCATTTCATCCCTACTATCTGCTGTAATAACATCAGAAAACCTGATGTAAAGAGTCAGTAATGGCTTCTAGTGACAAAAGGGCGGTCGGGTAGCCCAGTGGTTTAAGTGTTCTCTCGTCACGCCGAAGACCCGGCTACGATTCCCGACATGGGTTACAATGTGTGAAGCCCATTTCTGGTGTCCCCCGCCATGATATTGCTGGAATATTGCTAAAAGCGGCGTAAAACCATACTCACCCACTCACTCACTCACTCTTGTGACAACATGTCACCCGATCTACTGAAAGACCATATCCAGAACTGGCATCTGACTGCTGAACATAAGTGTGTAATAAGTTATGATGTGATGTCATGTGTGATAATGATATGAATGCAATGCAAATGCAAGAACAGATTAATAATGCTGCCTTCAGTTTATCATCCACATATAATAATTTTATGAGGGGATTAGTTCCACATGATTGAATGCTTACTGAATACCTGTCTTCCTTTTCCCATAATGGACTAATCCTTTATATACAATTTACAAAGACCAGTATATCAGTGGTAGATAAAGAAATGTGAATACATAGCAACCTGTCTTCATGGTCTTGTCTCATAACATGAAGTGCAATGCAAATAAATGAAGAGATTAATAACCTCCGAAAATAACCTAATAATTTGCTTCTGTCAATGTGTTAACAAATGGTCCGAGGTTAGTCAGCTTGTTCTAAGTGCAGGCGCAATGAGCCATAGGCAGCATGAGTGCCCCAGGAGGCAGGGGAGTGTCGGCTGTATATTTATAGATATGACCCAAGAAATAAAAACAATAATGGCCGTAAATTGCAAGATTGACTAACACTGCACACATGACAACAATTAAAATCTAAATCTGTACTATCTTATTTTATTTTACTTCCGACCGACCGAATACTCTCTCTCTCTCTCTCTCTCTCTCTCTCACTCACTCACTCACTCACTCACTCACTCACTCACTCACTCACTCACTCACTCACTCACTCACTCACTCACTCACTCACTCACTCACTCACTCACTCTACTGTATCACAATACACATTTCACAATACACATATACCTGACCATGAATTTTCTCTCACAAGTCACAACAAATACAGATAAGCTCTTGAAGGACAAAATAAACATCTGTACTATCTTATTTCATTTTATTTCTCGCTTTCCGACCATGAATATACTCACTCACTCAAGGTGTCACAATACACATTTGCCTGTCATTGTCAATACTCATCCCCAGCACTGTAGGCTATATCATGTTCTCCATATGAACATGATGAAGCCACAGCCTTGCAGCATGCAAGTCTAAGGCTGTAGTGACTATCTGTGTCATGCTTGGGTAATCATTAACTGCAAGATTGATAGTCATCAAAGACTCATCATAAAATCTCAGCCGAAAGGTAAACAAAGCAGAGTTTTCAGTCCCTGACTCTAACTTGCCAGGACAGCCAATTAACCTAAACCAAGCCGACATTGCAGTGTGAAGTCCGAGGCCTTGCTAGATGCCTACAGTGAGCCAGTGCAGTCCTGCTTGGGCAACTCCGGCCAGTATTGCCACGGGGCATACAGGTGTTAACACTGTGGGATTACTTTACAGGAGCTGTCAAAGTGATGTATTCCTTTCACTTGGGACATTCACATCCTAACACCACATAACCCGTAATAAGATTGGTTTGGGTTCCACATTCCTGACTAATGTGATCATAAAATGTCAAAAGGTTAAGCTTTTTGTTATAATAGTACCATATGCAGCATAATAAGTGCCCTAGGTGCTGAGAGTGAGATAACTGGAGCATGCTTATTAAAACCATGCACAACGAGTAAAATGTATTATCAGAGATATAGGTAGTGAATTAACTTAGTTCAAACATCCATTAAACCAAAACATTTCGATAATAGTCACTTGTCAATTATATACCCCTTCAGCGCTGCTGGTTTCTGTAACCATGGTAACAAATGTTTAACATTCACCAGAAAGTATGGAGACTCGTGGGTCTTGGGCAGTTCTAAAGATTTCTTACAGATTGGTCTAGGTGTTGTTTATTTTTGGAACAGGGTGCTTAATACAACAGTTATAGTATATTTTTAGTAATATTTGTAACATATTGTATATACATGATATAAGGATTTCTGTGAAAGTAAGAAACATTTTTGCTGCTGCTGCTGCTGATGATGATGATGACGACAATGACAATAGTAATGATAATAATAATAATTCGAATGATTACAATTGGGCTCTACAGCCTTTCAGCTTAGAACCCTAATAATACTACTAATAATGTGTGTACTTATAATGCGCTAGCCCTGATACACACGGTGCATGCTCAAAGCATTACACTACAAGCATGAAGCTGATTGATATAGGAAGTGCAAGTTGTTTATTAAGGAAATGGCTTGGCAGAAACCGTAAGCATGGTAAGTGGACAAGTACTGGTATACTTAGAATTGTTTTGATGGGTTGTGAGTATAAATGTTTACTTGTCCTCATTCAGGAAAATTGTCAATGTCTGCTTGTCCTGAGTGGAGGTTACTTTTTCGAAATTTTGTGCCCACAATCTGGCCAAATCTGGTAAATCATGGAAATGGGATGAACAGCTGAAGATATGTGATATGTGACAAGGAGATGTTTTCTGGCAAATATTGGTCTTTGGAAACTTGAGTTTAATTTCTGGTAAACTGTTTACCTGAACAAGTTAAACACAAAGTTCTAACGAGAATTTATCTGTCAGTTTTCCACACCAGGTTTTGGGGTGGGGGGTGTTGATAGTGGTTGGGATTTGGAGGGGGATGTTAGGGATGGGGAGGTGTAGGATACAGGTGCAATGTGTAGGATAGATATTAGATAGTGTCACACACCCGAATTATCTCCTCAGAACTGTGCCAGTGTGAATGTTGCCAGTGAAGTTCCAACCAATGATATCACTCCCATGGAAGTTTGAATTTGATCCACCACAGCAGCCATATTGAAAAATCTATTTAAGGTTATCACTTGGCCTTTTTTGTTCGGAATGAAATTTGGCATTTGTTTACCGGTAGTTTCCACAGGGTTGTTTTTTTGTGGGTTTTTTTGTAATATTTTGAATTTTGTATTGTTTTGACCTTGATCTTTGATACTCACTCATTGGATATTTGCCTGAGGTATCTAAACGTTGGCGTGTATGTTTCTCCTGATGATGACATCGTATTTTGTTCAAATCAATAAGACCGCATCCTTGGTCTTGTGGAAGGTCTGGGGTCTGGGGTCTGGGGTCTGGGGTTCAATCAAGGTGCGCCATACCAAAAGACTTTAAACCTGATACTTGTTGTTACCCTGCCTGGCGCTCAACATTTGGAGCTTAAACTCATCATTGGTTTACTGTGTCTTAGTGGGGTATTCATGTTAAACTGTGGCATGGTATGCCAGTTGGCTAGCACTAAAAATATAAGTGCAATAATCTTGGACACAATGTTAAACCCCATTTCACCTTACCTCGTATCATTAAATTCTAGTTTTAGTTTTAAGTCCTCAGTATTTATGTACAAAGGCTTTGATTATCAGTGCTGACAGTTACAGCAACTTGTTTCAAGTGTGTCAGTGTTGACATTTTGAACTTGTGACTTCACGTCTAGGTGAGCTACAGTGCCCTGGCACTATTTGTTAGGGGTTTTATTACTGACCATGATTGACAGCTGGCGTCAACATTAAGACTTCAGGTTTGCAAATGATATGGAAACACATTTGAACCATGTTCAGGGTTGTTTGTTTTGTTTCTATTCAGAGAGAACCCGGTGAAGTTGTTCGAAGTGTTTGTGGAGGTGGCCAAGCCTGAAGCTGGGCAGGGTGAGTTTCTTATACATGTTACCATGGCTAGGGCACATTGTAAAATGAATTTGTGCTGCAATCTGATTGGTTGAAAAACAGAAATCTTTTAGTCGTCATGGTCATTATCATGATTATAATCCTTAATGTGATAGCTATTTTGTCAAGCCGAATTGCAAGGGTTTTTTTAAGTCTGACACTGACAAAAACAATAAGGATTATAATGTTTTATCAATATTTTTCAGAACAACCATAATTTCTCTGGGTGTTTTAACCAGGCTGGTTTCCTAATCATAAGCCAAGGTGTGGAATAAATAAGAAAAATCTGTCCTAATAAGAAATATATTGGGATATAATGTTTTGGCACTATTTAGCCGTAAGAAAAATGGTCATTGGATTCCAATTATTTCATGCCTCTTGATTTTTTCAGATGCTTTCATCCTGCAGCAGTATCCTCCAGAGTATGATGATGCGGTGAGTTGCATCATTATGTTTAGCTCACCTGACTGTTTGGTTCGATTCGCCGCGACCACGTCATACCAAAAGACGTTAATAGATGGTACCCTCCTTGGCGCTTGGCATTATGGGGCTAAAACATGGACTGGTCTGCTGAGAGGCAGTATCCCGTGTCTGAGTAGTGTATTCATGTGAAACTGCGGCATGGTATCTCAGTGGGCTAGCACTATAAAATCAGCAAATGACTATTTTGTGTTACAGGAAACACAATGCTAACCCACTCTGTGAATTTTTTACTTACTATCAACATGTAAAACAAGGCTTCTGTAAACAATGGAAATGTTTAAGTATTTTATTCTTGAATTTTAAAGTTACATTTTCATTTCACGACCATCCTTGTACGACAGAGACAGTTTTCACCATTTTGGCTGGACTTGGCATGTCAAATTGTATCCCAGTTAGACCTGCATATGTAATTATTATGGGGACTATAGTGGACCTTTTGGTTCCCACATGGGGCATGGGACATGTGGGAACTGCAGTGCAGAATACGTCTGGTGTAACCATGGTAACAGCAGACTTAACAAGGATTTGATGGTTACCATGGTTACCAATGGATCGCCTGACTGGTCATGTGTCATGGACCTCAAGGTCATGGATTATTATTTCAGAATTGACTTCAATACTTTTTGTGGTAATGGAGGTATAAATGTGAAAAAACAGTGTGCATGCTCTTTATATCCGCTTTTTTTCAATCTCAATAAAATCAGATCTAAGTTCTCGCTGCCACTAAACAAAGATCTGAGGACATCCCATTACAGGTCACATCAGAACGACCTTTCACAAACTTTGAACGACCACTGAAACGAACAACAATAAGTCGATATCAGCCAATGAGAAAGCAGCTTTCTTGAGCTTTACGGCACTCGTTTCAACCTGGCGACTTCCATTTCAGACTACGCTTGAAAAATGTGTTGACACAGTTCTCGATTAAAATTTTAAAAACTGAACAAAAGAACAATCCGGAATGTCTAATATATGGTTACGATTTTATGGCAGTGCTTCCCACATACTTTGCAACGCCTCCTCCGTTCATATGTTTATCCTACGGAAGCGAGAGACAGGCCATAATTTTGACGGAATCAGTCGTACAGGCCATAACTGTCGTTCGGAATACCCCATTTTAACGTTTTTTAGGTTGCATGTTTAGAAAACACATTCCGACTGTCACTCTCACGATCTGGTAAGCCACGCTTTAATTGGTCTGATGAAAGGTCGTTTAGCGATAGCGAGAACTAAGATCTTATTTTAATGAGATTGGCTTTTTTTACTCAAAGTGTGACTAGGTAGACACAATTTTATGGATAACACCTTCTTTAATACTGTAAAAAGCAACGTTTCGGTATGGATCCTTATACCATTGTCAAGCAGGACTGAATGAGGGACAAAGTACAGAATATATATAGTAGGTGGAGGAGCTTTTTACAGTATCAAAGAAGTTCTTATCCATAAAATTGTGTCTACCTTGTCACCCGTCAATTTCTAAGGAATGCCTATCAAACAAGTCAAAGTGTGACACCAGATTTGATGTGTGCACTCCAGAAAACATATTGAAATCAATTCTTAAGAACAAGAAAGACATGTCAACAGTAATAACTTCACAGAGTGCTTATGTAGCCATTAACACAAGAAACCAGACAACAGTATGAATCGGTGATAACATTCAGCACAGTAATGCACCCCAAGCCCTGCCCCTTCTATTACCAGCCGATCAGGAAACAGTAGCAGAGCTCCAGATAAGCTGCGTATCTGCATGAAATACGCGTCAGAAATGCAGAAAAACACAGTAAAATAAAATCCAAGCGTATCAAATACGCAACGAACATTACAGATACGCTACAAAAATAAAACTTGAGCGTATCATCAAAATATTGTGAAGTAACCGTGCGTATTCGATTAGCAAATCAGCAACTTAGTTTGAAATTATAAACGGGCATTCTGTCAACCTTGCCAAACTCCATGATGACAGTTACATCATGATCATTTGCCATCACACTTTCTTGTGGAAGTATCGTGGTATTTTTGAGTCCTATAGAGCTCTCGAACCCACACGACACCAGTTTGCAGGGCCTAGATAAATAGAGTTTTTAAATATTTAACTTAAATACCCACATGTGTAAAAACTGGTGGGATAAAGAAATTTAAACACCCAGATAGAATTACTGATACCCAATGATTTTAAAATGCATGGGTAAAATACCCACAACACCAAAAGCTTATCTGGAGCTCTGAGTAGTCAGCTGGTGGGCATGGTGCAATATATCATGTATATTTTTTGGGTTGCTTGGTTAGCCCATCAAATGCCGCAGAATCACTTGCAATTTAAACATTAATGCTAAGGATGACTGTTTGGCAATGCCTATATTTGATTATTTAGGAATATATACAGCCTGGCTTGAAATTGCTGGAATATTACTGTCTCAACAAGTGTACCTCAATGAACTTGTTGAAGCTGAGTGCATCAGTTAAATCAGGAAGTGATATGGCATGGTTGCAAGGAAAACTTTGTTCCTGTCATTGAGTGGTTTTGAAGTATTGTTATATTTAACTGTTCATGTTATGGTCGGGGAGCATGTCACGGTTGTTTGTGGTGAAGATTCAGTACACTACTGAATTAGATTGCTTGTCGGATCTATTTGATTCATGTATTGAGAAAAACAATGTTTGATTTTGTTTAATAAAAGCAAGCAATTTAAGCATGTTAAGATTCAGTGCTATTAATGGATATTTTGACCTTTTTCAGGAAGTACTTAAGACTATACCAAGGTTTGTCTACCCTTGTGAGATGGACTGGTGAGTTCAGTTGTTTGTTATTTGTTATTTGTATCTTCTTTTCTTTCCCACCCGTGAAGATTTGGGGTAGAATAGGCCTTCAGCAACCCATTCTTGCTATAAAAAGCGACTATTCTTGTCGTAAGAGGCGATTAACAGGATCTAGGGGTCAGTCTCGCTGACTTGGTTGATGCATGTCATTGTATCCCAATTGCTTGGATCGATGCTCATGAAGTCAATCACTGGATTGTCTGGTCTAGATTCGATTATTTACAGACCGCCGTCATATCGCTGGAATATTGGTGAGTGCGGCGTTAAACAACAAACAAAATACAAACATCTTTCCTTTCTGGCCCAGGTGTGGTAGAGTTGTCCGTCTGGAGAGCGGAAATTCAGGGTGTTCAATAATCTTGGACGCGATGTTAAATTCCATTTCACTTCACCTCACCTGGCATGCTGCAATTTGCTCTGCCAAAATTGCTTAGTTCCAAATTATGCATGAGAGGTATCCATTCTAAAGTGAGAGGACCCCAAATCTCCTAATTAAAAGTATTAAGAAATGACATCCATAAGTCAAATTTAACTTTATCTTTGAAACGATTCATTGTGGCTTAAGAGAGCTTTAGTTTGGCAAGTCATCTTGTTTGTTTTTTTAAATAACTTTGTTAGATAGACACATCTGATGGGATGATTCACTGTTTCAGCTCCAACGTAGATCACTTCACCTTTGTGTTGACCGACCAGGACAGTCAGTACAGGTTCGGCTTCTGTCGACATGCAACCGGCGCACAAACCTGCCTCTGTGTCATCAGGTAATACGTTCCGCATGTCTCGCACTCAGGGTTCGTACTGTTTTGAAATGACCTTGACTTTTCTAACTAATCCCAATCTCAAATATATTACCTAGAACTATTTGAAAATCAATGTTGATATCTGTTAACAATAACAATGAAAACAGTTTGTATGGATCTGTATTAAGTCAGTAACCATAGTAACCATAGCGTTATCTGCTATCCTGCTAATCATCTTCTGCTCTCTTTAGAGTCGAATTTGCCAGAATCCAAAACAAAATTGAATTGATAAATATCTAATGTCATTTGAATTTTGGGGTGCGAACATGTTTTGAACATGTTGGTAAGGTCATAAATTTGTGACTGAATTTGTGAATGCATATGTCTCTGTTCATATTAACAGAGGACCGCCTCCATGGTCTAGTGGTAGAGCGTCCTCCCGGAGAGCGGAAGGTTCGGGGTTCGATCCCCGGCCGCGTCATACCAAAAGACGTTAAAAGATGGTACTTGTTGTTTACCTGTCTGGCGCTCGGCATTAAGGGGCTAAAACAAGGACTGGTCGGCTCGGAGTCAGTATACTGTGTCTGAGTGGGGTATTCATGTTAAACTGCGGCTTGGTATCTCAGTGAGATAGCACTTTAAATTGGCAACAGTCCGGACTAGTACAAGCAGCCACAGACACACACGCATGCACGTCGCTATATAAGTGCAATAGTCTTCGACGCGACGTTAAACCCAATTTCACCTCACCTCACCTCATATTAACAGAGATGAAAATTGGCAACATTCACAAGTCCGAGTTAGTTCATCTAATGTTAAATGTATTCAAGGTTACAATGTTAGCTGGCATCTTTGTATTACATCACTTCCTCTGTGCTGTGTGTTTTGAGCGTCCGGAGAGTGGAAGGTTGCTGGTTTGATCCCCAGCCTCGTCACACCAATAGATGTTCTAATGATGGTACTTGTTGACCTGCCCGGGGCTTGGCATTGAGGGGGATTAATCAAGGACTGGTCGGCTCAATAAATATACTGTGTCTGAGTGGGATATTCATGATAAACTTCGGTATGGTACCTCAATTGGCTAGGACTATCAAATCGGTGTTAGAATAGTACAGGCAGCCGCACGCGCGCACGCACACATCACTATATAAGTGCAGTAATCTTCAATCTCATTAAAATCAGATCTTAGTTCTCGCTACCGCTAAACAAAGATCTGAGGTCATCCCATTACGGGTCACGTCAGACCGACCTTGCGCGAACCTTAACCGACCAATGGAATGACCAATCAGAAGGCAGCTTTCTCGTGCTTTACGGCACTAATTTCAAATTGGCGACTACGCTTCGAAACATATTCTGACAAATCCTCGATTACAAATTTGAAACCTGAACAAAAGAACATTCTGGAATGGCTAATAGATGGTCTAGATTGTATGGATTCAGTCGTTTAACCCGTAACTATTGTTCAGAGTTAAAAGTTTTCGGGTTGCATGATTAGAAATCACATTCCAACTGTACTTTCATAATCTGGTAAGCGACGCTCTGATTGGTTGGATGAAAGGTCGTTCTGACGTGACCCCTAATGGGATGTCCTCAGATCTTTGTTTAGCGGTAGCGAGAACTGAGGTCTGATTTTAATGAGATTGCAGTAATCTTGAACGCGACGTTAAACCCCTTTTCACCTCCCGTCACCTCACCATTGTGTTACATCCTTCTGGTTTAATTAAATGTTCCATTTAAATAACGACTCCCTATTTTCAGCTTCCTGCCATGGTTTGAGGTGTTTTACAAGCTGCTGAATATGGTAGCGGAGCTGCTGAACCGCACGGACGACAACAGCCTGACGCCCCTGCTGGAGAACACCTTCAATCATGAGATCCCCATGCCGGGGGTGCCTGTCACCATCCTTGCCCAACAGGAGGTAGGCCTCGGCTCCAGATAATGGTTGAAGCCATTGATGTTTTTGCTTACTTGTTATCAATCACGCTGCGTGTTTGATTATTTTCTTAGGGTATTCCATATATTTTTACTCCCTTTGATCCAGTTTATTTGGTGTACTAAACCAATGATGTGCCATTTTAAAAAATACTTCTGCTTAAAATGCAGTTTCAGTAACTTCTAATTTTCTTCCGTTTGTGTGCTGCCCCAAATTCACATAAGCGATAATGTCTCGGTTGCAATGTGCAGAACGTAGTCCTTTTGTGCATTATGCCATGCAGTAAAGTTTATGAATAGTTGATGCCTGCATTCGATCAGTAAATAAAGATAAGTCAAGATATTCAGGTTCGCAAGCTGAAAAGGTGTGTTGGGTAATCTTGCAAAGTGTTGTGCTAAAAACAATAATAGTCTTGGTTCTCAGGCATTGCCCGCATCATCATAAAGTTCACCGCACAATTCGTTTGTATTTCCATTTAAAAAAAAAAATCCTTAAATATTCCAAGTCCAAAGGTAGTCAAATACTGTATTCCAGTATTTTACTCATCAAGGAATACATATATGTAGGGAGGCCCTTTCCCAGATTGATTGTACCCCATTGTTTATGTATTGGAGAAAACACGCTTACTCGGTTTTGGTAGACAGTATGCTTCGCCCCCATGCTTTTTCCCGACCCCCAGGGCATGCTGTGTCTACCAAAACCGAGGGAAAGTGTTTTTCCATAGTTATAAACCGAAAACAGAAACTTAAAACAACATTTTTATGATTCGAACATACTTTCCATGAACCTTAGGAAACGCGCGTAAAATATCTGTTGCTGGCGTACGGATCTTGAAAAGGACATTCTTAAAACCAGTGTGGCTTATCAACACCTCTGTAGCCTCGTGGTACACTCACTGGGCTACAGATATGAAGGTTGCGAGTTCGATCCCCGGGAATATAAAGAAAACATTTGTAATTTGATTTTACATTTCATTACATGTTACAATCTGAACGGAAGTTACATTAATAAAATACCCAGGACATCAAATAAAATCCCTGGGTTATTATAGCAAATATGACTTGAATATCCTATAAAATCCCAGGGATATTATATAAAATGCCAGGGACATTACACCGTCCCTGTTTATGAGATTTAACCCGACTGGAAAGTAAAACCTCACAATAGGTTTTAATGCCTATTAAGTCTCTTACTTAATAGCGATCCCAATGAATAGGTTTATGATGTAGTGCCCGCCAACACAATATTTTCAAAAGCCATTGCCTGAGAACCAATTCTTTTATTTTTTTAAGCCTTATTCTATTTGTTTTGGTAAACTTTTTATGTGTATTTGCAAGTATCTCAAAGTTAATTGGGTAATGGTGATTTATAGGGCGTATTTTCTTTACTTGTCCTCCTGAACCCTCTCTGCAGAATATCTGTGTTTAATGAAAACCAGTCTCGGTTATTGAAATAGGCAAAGCATAGTTAGGTTTATTCCACATGAATATATAAACTACTCAAAAGAAGTTAAGAACATGACAGATTGACTTTAGTAGTATGAAAGAATTGGATGTTCTTTAACCACTTTTGATTAGTATGTGTAGATAAATCAGCATCGGCAGCGGTAGAAACTAACAGTTTTAGTCCACTAGTCCTTATAATGATAGCATATAGCAAACCCCTTAAAAAAGGCAAATTACTAGTCATTATGATACCTTAACTATTGGGCAATTTGGCAAGGACTACAGGACTAGTGCCAATTTCTAACACTGATCAGGAACAAAATGGAAGGGAGACATTTATTGTGTTAATAAGAGATTTCAATGACTATATGTTAGCCTGGAGGTTGAACCGGCAATGTATAGCACCGAAGGTTCATATGACTGTCAGGACACCATTGTGCTAGCTGAGGTACTGGCCTGAATTACACAATATCTTCCAGGGATTGAAGTTGTTTTGTCTTCTTGGTAAGGTAGTAGAATTTTAGACGTTACAGAAATGTCTTGTTAGGTAAATAACATAACCACGACTTTGCCTGGTTGATTTCTACTGCTCTGAAGCAGTCTCAAAGTGTGTATTTGGAAATCCCAAGACAAATGTGATCCATTATCTGTAATTCCTTTGTGCATGGTATTCTCTTAAGGGCTGGTAGGTTAGTGGGTGGCCGAGTGGATGAGGTGTGTGATCATCGTGCTGAAGATTAACAACCAGCTTCCCTTACTTGACAATATTCTTTGATTGATCTGTTTCAGATGTTCAGCTTCACAAGTCCTGATCTCTCCCAACTACCCAATATTCCTTCTAGTGTAAGTGTCTCACCGTGATTGTGGTACCATTCAAAGACAACTGTGTGTGTGTGAATGCAGGTTTACAAAGCCACCAGTGAGCACATGGTCATTACAGGAAGTTTGATCGGAGTGGCCTCCCCTTAGACAATACTGCCCAACAACTATCCCTAACTCATAAAATAAGCCAATACTTGTGCTGTTACCTGTCAATGACAATAATAATGCTGAACTAGTAAAGCCTAGCCTTCCAGGTACATACAGCTGCTCAGTGGATTTATAGAAAGACATTAAAAATCATACAGGTTTGTTTGTTTGTTGTTTAACGCCATACTCAGAAATATTACAGTTATATGACATGGCTCTGCAAATAATGAAATTTGTGACTGACAGTATGAGCATCGATCTACACATTTGGGATGCCATGACATGCATCAACCAAGTCAGTGAGCCTGACCACCCGATCTCGTTAGTCGCCTCTTATGACAAGTATGGGTTGCTCAAAGCCTTTTTTAACCCAGATCTTCACGGGTCGGAAATACAGGGAAAATATCTATAAGCTTGTGCAAAGAGAAAAGTTTATGAGTTGACGTTGGAAAGAATCATGAGTCTACTTGAGTTCCGGAGCTTTGGACTGATAACAGAGAAGGAGAGTTCCACCAACTTTGTTTTGGTGTCTTTCACTTTTAAGGATTTCGCTGCTTGCCTTGGATAAGATTCATCCAGGGCAGGGGGCACGGGTGGACCAGTCATCTAAGGCGCCGCGTTTCGCTGTGCAGAGTTGCGTCCCTTGGGCACACCAGAAACCTATGATTGTGGGTTCGAATGCTGGTTCGCCCCGATTATGGTTCTAGGTTTGTCAGTACCACTCCCGTGCTCGTGAGTTTTACCGAAGTGGTAAACGTCTTAGACCTGCATCACTTCGGGCTTTCCTCCGACATTAAGCTGACACACCGTGATATAACTGGAATACTGTTAAAAGCGGCGTTAAACCAAACTCACTCACTCATCCATGGCAGAATGAATTTCCCATGTACTGGTATGAAGAGCTTGTGTTGAATCATCCATGAACCTCCATCATTTGATTTTAACTATGTCAGTGCATAATGAAATTCTCTTCTGTTTTCAGCGTAATTTAACAGAATACTACAATGCAATAGATACAAACAATATGATGGTCATTTTTGCCAGGTGAGTCTGATTTTCCATAGTATCCTAATGTTTACTGAAGCAAAAATGTCTGAAATGCTATTTGCTTAAACTGACTTTATTTTTTCTATTATTATTTCAAATATCAAGAAAAAGTACTTTATATCCCAAAGGTGGCAGTGTTTGATATTTAGAGGTGTCCAGGGGTCCCTCAGGACTTCTATAGTATTTGAATCTAAGGTCCACTAAATGTTTAACACTTACATCTGAGTCTTGACACAGCCCCTTTGACTTGCTTGCTTTATTTAAAACACTGGGTGTTACCACTTAATCTATCTTCTTCACTTACATATAGATTTGACTTCATTTGCAAATGTGGACAGGCTGATATTCTGCCCCATTGTCAGTAAATATTCCAAAATTGGAATTGAAATTCGCCAGGTCATGTTATTATAGCAATAACAAGTGTTATTGTTTTGTAGACATGACTGCATTTCACTGACAACATGTTTCAACGTTTAGTTTTACATTTTTGCATTGAATGAAATATCAACATACTCCTGAATTTAAGAAAATACGAACTTGTGGTTTTTTTCCCAATTTGTTTGCCAACATCTTCCCGAGGCAAGAGAGTTAACTGACTTTAAAAGTCCAGTTTCCACCCTTGCTGAACTATGGCTACTACGAGTTATGTCCCTTCTATGCCTCTCCTATGGACCAATCACCTACCACCTCTCGTGTCACTTGCATTTGCTTCAAACAATACAGCGGTGCCCAGTCAAGACGATCTGATCGATAATCAAGATCTATATATTGTGATTCAAATCAGTGATCCCTTGATTAAAAACATGAAAAGATTTAGAAAATATCTGTTGACAACTAGTTAGCGGTGCACATGCATTGCAAATCCTGCAATCGACCGAAATCTGCATGACAGTTTACGAACCGTATTTCGATTTCGGAGGGCAATTTTGATTGGTCTATGCATAGACTCGTTAGTCCAGCCAAAATGTAACTCAATAATACCAGCCTAGTTCGGCAAGGGTGGAAACTGGACTTTTATAGTCAGATAACTCACTTGCCTCAGGAAGGTGGTCTGACAGGGGACCTTGGTTTAGAAGCCTAGAAAAATCCCTGGTTGATCTCCTGCATATAACATGGTGGTTATTATTGAATCATTTCAGTATGCTCAATGAAAGGCGGTTGCTGTTTACTTCGAAGAAACTGAGTCGGTTGACGGCGTGCATCCACGGGGCCGAGTCTCTTCTTTATCCTATGCATTGGTAGGAATTACAAAACACTTTTTATATTTTTAAGTGTACAGACATGCTGACCATGTTAAAAAAAACTATCCCTGTGAAAATACAATTAACATTATTTATGATTAATACACTGTTTAATACCTGACACACCTTTGTGACTATTAAAAATGGGAACAAAAGTAAGCTGGTATAAGGATGGACAGAAAAAAATGTGAGAAACTGAATAAAATGTGCCATGAAATCAAACTGTGGCACTCACTCAGGTAGAAGTGTTTTTCTTTTAAAAATTACAACCAGCACTAACAATCATTCTGAAAAAATAGTGTGTAAGCTTAAGAAAGAAAATCATTTTAAAATACAAGCCTCACGCAGCCTGAGTAAGGCCTTGAAATGCCTTAAATGTCAGTAACATTAAAATGTTAATGAAAAACTGATGACTTGGTAATCTACTTTTTGTTGATTTCTCTAAAATATAACTGCAGAAGAATTGATTTTGGAATCAGATAAGAAATGATGAACAATCAGCTGATGTCAAAAAATAACTTATGAATTGGCGTATTTAAGAAGTAAATGCATAAACCTTTTTTACATGATTTATTGTGAAGTAACTTTTGACATGCTTCTGTTTCAGGCAGTACCTGTTTATACCTGTATTACCTGCCCACCTAATAGATTATGCCTCGTAAGTCGTTGTAACAATATGGCTCTGTGTACTAAGTTGAGTGAAGAGTTGTGTCCCTTGGATACTGATTATAATAATTGTGTTCATATCTCAGTTTTGGTACAATGATGAGTTTTTGTCTGATCATTTATTTCTCCATGGTACTCTGATAATGTGCACCAACCAATACACTTTATAGAACATTTCCACTTGAGCTGCATGTACCTCAATCCCTGATATGTAATATTGCTGACAGTGCATCTTTATACTCCCAATATGTAATATTGCTGACTGTGCATCTTTGTGCCTGATATGTAATATTGCTGACAGTGCATCTTTTTGCCCTGATATGTTATATTGCTGACGGTGCATCTTTATACTCCAATATGTAATATTGCTGACTGTGCACCTTTTTGCCCTGATATGTAATATTTCTGACAGTGCATCTTTTTGCCCTGATATGTAATATTGCTGACAGTGCATCTTTATACTCCAATATGTAATATTGCTGACTGGGCACCTTTTTGCCCTGATATGTAATATTGCTGACAGTGCATCTTTATACTCCAATATGTAATATTGCTGACTGGGCACCTTTTTGCCCTGATATGTAATATTGCTGACTGTGGGTCTTCATGCTCTGACATGTAATATTGCTGACTGTGGGTCTTCATGCCTGGACATGTAATATTGCTGACTACAAGCCCCGTACATGACCTATTTGTGATGTTTCAGAGCACCCATGCCGTATGTGATAGGAGTCCACACAACACTAATGGGCGTGAGTTCACTTGCTCTTCCTCTATTTGTTTAGAGGGGTGAAAATTGTAATTGACGAAAACTTTACCCATTTTCAATATTGCCCACATTTTATGGACAGAAATGACATGATGGAGACTTTGCGACATTTCATTTATGATAGTTATTTTCTCAACATGTTGGAAGACATACAAAGTATGGGTAGGGTGTACAGAACCATTCTAGGAATTATGTACTTCAAAGTTCTGTAATATCTGCATATCCATTTTGGTTAATCTAAGACGAAGTCAACTCTAAAAGGCTCATATAAAATCTTAATATGGTCCACAATAAGAGTTAGAAAAATGTGCAGTAATAATGATGTGCCTTGTTCTTGCTGGGTAAATACAAATACATTTACACTCTTTTCGTAAAGTTCTTCAACACACGTGTAATAATCTCTATGTTGGGCATATGTAGTTACCTCCCTTCTTCTCTTTATAAGTGTTACTATATCCAAGATTATATTTTCTCTTTGCCATAGAAATTGCGGCCATCTGAACTTGGTGATGCTGTGATCGTTGATGCAGACAAGAACACAGTTCAGACAGAACATAGCGACCTCGAGGACCTGCCAGAGGAAGTGGTGAGAGCAGTGGGGGTCCTGGGTTAGAATTGGCCCCCAACCTGCTGCCAGGTCGTTAGAGGGGATGTAGTTTGTTCCTCGTAATATCAACCACTGGATTGTCTGGTCCAAATTTGATTATTTACAGACCACTGTCATATAGCTAGAATATTGCTGAGTGAGACATTTAACAAATTCACAAACCAACAAATACTGCATATTAATAGCGTTAGAAATTGTCACAAGTCCTGTAGTCCTTGCTAAACTACCCAATAATTAAGGTATCGTAAGGACTAGCAGAATTGGCCCTTTTTAAGGGTTTTGCTATAAGGACTAGTGGACAAAAACTGTTAGTTTCTACTGCTGCATCTACTAGTCTGAGGCTAGTATGTTTGAAGGGCTAGTGGATTTCTAGCACTGCATCAAAGATCATCCAGGGATCTCTCATAATGATAAACAAAATAAATAAAATGATCGAAATACAATTGAGATGTTATGCTCTCGAAGTCAAATCTCATAAAACATTAGTACAATATGATACCTCTCGGTATGAAGATCTGACAACCCAGACAACCAGAAGGTTGTATGAGGTGAACCCGCAGTGATCTTTGACCGCCCAATCTAAACGAAGGATGAGAAGAAAACACAGAACGATAATATTCCTTCAACGGTACTCCTGTGAGTGTAGATTCCATGGCACTCGTATATGACGAGATGTGTACAATTTTCATTAAACTATAAGCCCATGTAGATCCGGGGTAGGATAGGTCTTCAGCAACCCATGCTTGCCGTAAAAGGTGACTATCCTTGTCGTAAGAGACGCTGACTTGGTTGATGCAAGTCATCGTATCCCAATTGCGTGGATTGATGCTTATGATGTCAATCACTGGATTATCTTGTCCAGACTCGATTATTTACTGCCGTCATATAGATGGAATATTGCTGAGGGTGCCATTAAACAACAAACAAACAAACAAACATAAAACTATAAAGGCACACTCATGATATTGTTTCATTCAGAACTCACTAATTATATTCTTTTCAATGGCTGACGTTTGGTAAACTTCATGACTCGAGTCACTTCAGTCTGTCCTACAAGCTGAGACACTTCAAGACAAATGAGATGTACTTATAGCATGAAACCCAACTCACTCACTCACTCACTCACTCACTTTCCAGTTGGCCTACCTCAAGAAACATCTGAAGGGGGAACGTGTGAAGAGTTCCATGCTGGAATCGGGGGACGCCATTTCTCGTGCATTCCTCAATGCTCTCGTCAGACTCATAGGTATTCTTAGACAATAAATTCTTTCATTGGTTTATATATCTGACAACCCTAATAAAATAGAAGACTGGAAAAATATAACATGAAAAGCACTTATATTGTTTTAATCTGCTGCGTGCAAACTGCATGCACAGCTTTTAACTGTTAACTTGATGTTTTGAAATACAGAAATAGAAATCTGCAATTTCGTATTTTTTGTTCCACCCACCTACCTATTGGATTTTTTGTGTTATATGTTTGTTAACCAAGAAACAATAAGTAGGAGCCTAGTGGCAAATTGTGTCCATCTTCAATTTACTATGATGCTTGTTAGGAAAGAGGAAAAAAGAAGTAGGAATAGAAAGAAAAAGTAATCATGCTGAAACTGAATCTGAATATTGAAACTGAGAGATTATTATCAATAGTTTCATGCAAAAGTGATATTCAAAAGTGTTTTTTCACATGCTGAATTATTATTTCATGTCAAAATATTTTTATTTTATTGTCAAGGTGGATATCGTGATGCGCTCAAGTTCCACACGGGAGAGCCAATCACATTTGAGCCTGACGCTTTCGTGACATCACGTGCAACTCCCTCCATGCAAGCGTTCCTGCAGAAGATGCTCCAGCTGCAGATCTTCCAGCAGGTGCCCAAATGTTGCCCTAATGTTGCCAATAATTTATGCTATGATAACTTATCATTCCACAGGAGATATTGTTTGGGTGAGATCAAACAATATCTCTGAGAAGATACTGATGTTGCTGCAATGAAATTGCATGACTATGCTTTGAAGACCATTGTGACATCATCAGTTACCATGACATCACAATCAAATGACATCACTATTCTCTCTGGCACTGAAGTTGTCATGACTCTGGTTATTTCTTTTGATAAACCTAAAACGTTGGAAGAATGATTTTGGGTGATACATAGCAATCTCACACTTCTGTCTTCCAAGCTTAAATATACCAGGACTATTTAATAAAAGTAAAAATATCCTGAGCATTCCTTGGATATTTCTAACTTTTATCAACTTGTCTAGTATATAGGTGGGGGGGCACTTCGGGCTTTCCTCCCACATTAAGCATTAAAAGCGGCGTTAAACCCAACTCACTCACTCACTCACTTGTATAGAGTTGGCCTCGGAAGACACTCAGGTGAGATTCTATATATCATGTACCGGTATTTAAAGCTAAATGTATACTATAGGGGAATTTTGTTAAAGACAGAATATTTGTTATTATGTCACTGTTTAATGTGTTTCAAGAAATACATTTTTTTACTTGGAAGGCGACAAAGAATATTTTCCAGGCCATCCAGTGAATAAAACCTGAAGGAATAATTTTTTCCTATATTTTCTTGACACAAACTATTTTTGTTAAAAAAATCTCATGGATAACACTATCCTTTAATAAATAAATGATCTGCTTTGAGTTTAGCTGTTAGACCATACTCCTGATGAGGCTTTCATCATCAAAACGTTATCCGTAGCTTTAAATTGAGTTAAGTTTAAATAATAAGATTACTCTGTTTTTTGCAATAATTTTGAAAGGTATTTGTGAATCATAAGAGCTTAATTTCTGATTGTTTGGCATATTGTTTCTTTTTTCAGTTCATCAATGGCCGCCTTGAAATCCTGAACTGTGGTGAAGGCTTCAATGACCTGTTTGAGAAGGAGGCTGTGCTCCACGCTGACAAACTCAATACTCAGTCCAAGTACAAGGAGTGGGCCGGCAACATGAAGGTACAGCTACAGTGGTAGACATTGGCACTAGGCCTGTAGTCCTTGCCAAATTGCCCAATAGTTAAGGTATAATAAGAACCAGTAGAAATTGGCACTAGTCCTGTAGTCCTTGCCAAGTTGCCCAATATTTAAGGTATCATAAGGACCAGTAGAAATTGGCACTATTCCTGTAGCCCATGCCAAATTGCCCAATAGTTAAGGTATCATAAGAAACAGTAGAATTTGGCACTAGTCCTATAGTCCTTGCCAAATTGCCCAATATTTAGTGAGTGAGTTAAAGTTGAACGTCACATCGGCAATATGTCAGCCATAGCCCTATATTTAAGGTATCATAAGGACTAGTAGAAATTTGCCATTTTTATGGGTTTTGCTATATGTTAACATTATAAGGACTAGTGGACTGTTAGTTTCTACCACTGAGTTGCCTCCCTTTCCATCACCCCCTCTTCAAATAAATTTTCCAAGCATTGAACACTCATAGTTTTTGCACCAAGGCTTTGGGTTACTGTTGTTGTGCAATTATTTCACCAGTGACCACCCAGAAATGAGTGACGCACTGTTTTCCACTCTGTCCACCCAGTCTAGCCAGTTTGCCTTTTGCTACTTAGGGGTGTTTAGAAATTCTGTTTCCATGGCAACAACTTTGATTTTGACTGTTCATATTGGTGTGTACCTGACAAAGTTCCGAATCCCAATTCCATGGTATTGTTATGATAGCACAATAACTACTCTTGTATACGGACAGACAGATTAGAAGGAAATACTCTCATCAAGTTGGACCTAATGTGACAGGCAGGGGGGATTGTCATCTTAAGATGACTCTTGTTTTGTCTTTTTTAGTTCAAACTGGTATATAATTATGTAACCAAATAAACAGTTGTGTACAATCAGCCTGGGCAAGGGCCTCCCTATATAAATGTATTCCTTGATGAGTAAAATACTGGAATAAAGTACTTGACTACAGATGGACTTGAAATATTTAAGGATTTAAAAAAAATAAAACTATAATGGAAATAAAATCGAACCAAGCAGTGACGCAGGCGGTGCCTGAGAACCATGACTTTTTTTTAGCCTTATGTTTGTTTTCCAGCGACAAGGGAAGAAGTTCCAGAAGAGTGGGAAGGAGGTTCTGTCTGACGTGAGAGAGAGGGTAACTATCACTGTTCTCTGTACATTAACCCCACTGAGTGTCAGCCCTGGACCCACCCACTAGCCTGAGATGTGCAGCCAGTTCTAACTAACACAGACAGTGAGGGTGCACTTTGGACCTCATGAAAAAAAGCCTTTGTTAGGAAAGGAGACTGATCCTGCAACTAGCTGTGTGGGGAAAATAGCAATCAGCTTGTCTGTTTGTTTGTATGTAATCATTAAACAACTGCCCAATCTACCTATCTAATTTGAAATTACTGGATCACGTTGCCAGAGGTATATTGAAATAATGACCTCATTTTTTGGTTTAGACATTCCTATTGTAAGGACCCATGCTGTTATTGAACTGACAGAAACACAGGTCATTGTAAAGGGAATTGTCACATCAAGGGCACTTTCTGACCTAGGGAATGAATGTAATGGAGTTTCTCTTGTTGTAGACAATGATTCAGGAAAGCAATTAATCTCACCAAAATCAGATGTTAGTCCTTGTTACCCATGCACAAGGATCTGAGGACATCCTATCACGGGGTGCATCAGAAAGAGCTTTCAGCTGACCAATCAGAACGTCGCTTATGAGATTACGAAAATGAATATTCTAATGTGTTTTCATGCAACCTTGAGGAGGTTAACTCGGAGTGTTCTGATCATCAGTTACAGGCTGTACGACTGATTCTGTCAAAATCCTTTTGTGTCTCTAGCTTCAGTGGTATAATCATTTGAAACGGAAGAGATTTTCTATGGTCTGTTGATGGAATTCGCCATTTTGGTAACTAATTCCGTTAAGCTCGAGAAAGCTGCTTTCTGATATGTAAATGTCTACTTCCTGTTAATCAATTCATTGGTCGGTCATAGTTCCCTAAAGGCTGTGATGTGCCCTGTAATGGGATGTCCTCAGATCTTTGTGTAGTGGTAGCAAGCACTAAGATCTCATTTGAATGAGATTGAAAAGAAAGAAAATGTGATAGAGGGTTGGAGTATCACAAAACACATGTGGCTCTCGTGTGTAGATTTACTGGCTGAAACTCCCTGCATGTCTGCCTCTTGATCAGTTCAGAGCAGGATGGGACATCTTTCCACACTGGACAAAATTTGACAAAAACATCATTTGTGAAATATGCAAATTCATTGCTATAAAGTTATTGAGTAATATCTGATTCATCTGATTCTGAACCTTGTATGTCTCAAAATGGAATTTTGTCAAACTTGAGACCTAGTCATCAATGCTTCACATGTTTGAAACTACATTCCTCATCACCCGCGAGTATGTGCGACCACTTTACGCTATTTTGAACCGGCCAATCAAACCATGGCCTGGCACAAGTGAGAGGGAAATTAGCAAGTGCTCTGACCAATGAGTGCCCAGAATACAGTGCACAAACAGCACGTCTTGTAACATGTCATTGCCTTGCGGCCATCTACAACATACTCTATACATTGTTTCAAAATCAGGCAATGGCAGGTTTCACAAAAAAAATATCCTAGAGGAGTAGGGCTCATTTGTCTTCAATGACTTATGTACTGCCTCAGTTTATTGCTTATTAAGTAGATATGAGTCCTTGATATACTGCAAATTGGCCAAATGTGTTCATGACGGGTGATGGTGGAACGTGTAGACAAACCTAAGTATTGATGACAACAGGGCAGTTGATGAAGTGTGACTGTTTTCTGACTCATAGTATTGTTCGGTATAGCATATGATGCAATATAGACACCACACCTTTGCATGGTGCCATCATGATAATATTCTATTTACAATTTGTTCCTTCTTTTTTTCCCTCTTCACCTTGAGATTTAGGGTCCAATCTGTCCCTGTTTGGTCACAATTTATACTAAATTTTGATAATAATTTGACAGTATCACTGAAGCCCAACTCTGAGTTGAGTCATCGAAGGTTGATAGGTGCTCACATTATCAACCACTGGTTTGCCAGGCTCGACCAATCATTGAAATCCTCACATAGATGAGGTGATAGTGGCTGTGGTATAAAGCCCCGTACATCCACCTTCCTTGTATTTCAGCATATTGAGGTATAATAACCATATTTTATAGGCCGAAATTGTTTGGTTTCTATTACATGCTGTTAAAATCAGTGAAGAATTGTTATTAAAAGTTTGATATTTTCACAAATTTGCATCAAAATGATCCTCAAATATTTATATTTTATTGTACAATTTAAATGTAAGGCCCAAGTAACTTACCAGGTAGAGGTGGTATGTAATAGGAACCAAGCAATTTGCTTTAACATGTTCAAAGCACATTGGCCCATGTCTTTGCCTCTGCTGGAGGCATGGGATCACCCAGTGGTCTATGATGCCATAAGATGCTTTCAGAGTTATGTCCCTTTGCCATGCCAGGATCCGCTGATCTGGGATTCATCTCGGTGATGATCCCAGGTATAGCACCATACCATGCCTGTGGTATTGCCATAGTGGTACCCAGCTACAAGTTATGCCACAGTGGACTATCCTCCTATGTAATACCGACCTGCTGTGATGTAACTGAAATACTGTTCAAGACAGCCCGATACCCATCTGACTGACACACTCATTCTATCTTTGCTTCTTCTCATGTGACTGACTGTTTGTCAACAGGCACCGATTATGATGAATTCTGCTGTTCAGTCTGTAAGTGACAGTTTGCATGTCCTGTCCGACGCCTTCCTCGATTGTTCAGTGTCGTGTGTCTCTGTTCCGTTTCATAAATACCATGGACTCATTCGCCACCATAGTTTTATCTTTCTTATCACAAACTTGGCACAGAATTTCTCTGGCCCATGAGCTTCAACTTAACAGCACAGACCAGACTGTCTTATGAACAACAAGGCGAGCATGTACACGTCATATGCTACTAGTTTCAGCCTGGAAGGAACTGCGGTTTGAGTGGACGGTATTTTTAGCATCATGTAAATCAAGTTATGGCAGTAAATTGGTCCAGGGTATTTATCAACACAGGATGGAAAATCAGGGCTCGAAAAATTCTTAAATCCAACTTGTTCTGCAGGGCAAGTCGATAATATTTTGTGCTCGTCCTGCAATATTTTCAATTGTTATGTTAAATTTTTAAAAGTTTTATGTTGTTATTTATGTCTGACAGTAAAATGTAATTCAGAGTCCCCGCCATCTTTTTTTTACAGTCATACTGTATTTAAGAAATTTTCCTTTTTTTGGCCTGTTTGTTAATTAAATCATGTTTTTTTTGTCGTTAGCCCCACCATCCCCAACAAAAAAACTTTGTATGTCAGCCATTTTCCTCACAAAATCAATCATCAGCTGTTCACTATCACTTTGACATTTTAGCGTTAGTAACGAGTCACTTACAACAAAAATTTAAAAAATAATGATCTCCCATTAAAAACTAGCTTTGATAACTTCTGCGCAAACGCACTTCCATTTCTGAGACAGATACCAAGTATGACATCCTATTTATGATATGGGCGACATATATTTCATTGTTATTACTTTGATCGTGCGATATCTATATTTTAGGTTCAAAATTATCTTGCATCTTTTACTGAAAACGATTAGAGATGAATTGATACAATTGATACGCCCAGTAGGACGAGAGTTTCTTCAATTCGTTCTCGCCCTGCACCTGCTGGTCAATATGAGTTGATTTTTCGAGCCCTGGAGATACAATACACCTGATGATCGCAGACGGTCAGACCCGCACGTCTCTCCCCTAACCAGCATGTCCTTACAGTTTTCTTTCGTTTCCTGATTTCTCACTCTCCTCTCCAGAACAGAAATATGTGAATCTGTGTAAAAACATTGTTTTTTTCAAAACATGATTATTTGAAGAGAGTGTTTTTGTAGATATCATGTTGCAAGGAATTATGAATGTTCTACTTTAAATGTTGCATGTATATAACTGTGGAAACTTCAACCTTTGTATATATGTGAAGTCAGCATCTTGTAGTCTTACAGAAAATTACATGTATCGTATCATGGGCTGTGGCGTAACCTAGCCTTTTAAACATTGGCTCATCAAAGACCCAGGTTTAATTTCCCACATGGGTTCAATGTGCGGAGTCCTTTTGTGTTGTCCCTTGCTGTGATATGGCAGGAATATTGCTTAAAACTACAAAACACTCACTCACTCACCTTTGCATCTTCCTGAGTCAAGGGAGTTAACTGACTGTAAAAGTCCAGTTTCCACCGTTGCCGAACTAGCCAGGAATTTCTGGGCTTGATCTGAGTTATGTCCCTCCTATTAGAAAATCAGATTCCACCTCTCATGTCACTTGCATTTGCTTCAAACAAAATGGTGGCACCTTTTCAAGACAATCTGATCGATAATCAAAATCTATATTGTAATAAAACAGGTCTTACTTCACAAAAGGCATCAATTCAGGTGAGCACCTTGATAAAAAACATGAAAAGATTTGGGAAATATCTGTTGATGCCGAGTTGGCAGTATACATGCTTTGCAAATCCTGCAATCGACCGAATTTGTATGGCAGATTACAAACCAGATGCCAATTTCGTTACGCAACTTTGAATAGACTATGCATGGTCTTGTTAGTCCAGCCCAAATATAACTCCATATATCCAGCCTAGTTTGGCAAGGGTGGAAACTGGATTTTAAAAGTCAATTAACTCCCTTGACTCAGGAAGATGTCCTCTTTGTACCTCACATGTATGATGGAATGTCACATATAGGGAGTAACTCCTACATGTCCTATCTGTGGTCGATCTTACTATGTAATGGTTAGAAATAAATAAAAGAAGGTCAATTTTGTATGAATATCACCATTCTGACTTCAAAAACCAATCTGACCCTACAGTTTCTAAAGGTGCCCAAGGGCTAAGAGTGTCAGATCAGAATAATTATTTCATAAATTTGACTTGGCTATATGCCCTCGTCAATATGCCCACATTATATAACAGAATATGCCCAATAACATATCTTCTTATTTACATTATATTTGAGGCTGACGGATAAACAATGTTTGCATGCATATGTTATATATCTACCTAACTTTATCATACTTTGTCAAGGAGTATTGGACATCAGTTAACAAATTTGCCAGTAGTAATTAGGAATGAGTTTTAAATGTAATGAGTAATATGTTACTGTGCTGTCAGCCTGGGCCCTGTTGCACAAAGCTATCTTAGTGCTAAAGTGGTCATAACTCCCATACTTAACACAGGCTTATGATAATCGTAGCGCTAAGATCGCTAAGAATAATATATTATTGTGCTGTCAGCCTGGGTCCCGTTCCACAAAGCTGTCTTTGCACTAAGGTGATTATAACTCCCGTACTTTAACTTAAGCATATGATAATCGTAGCGCTAAGATCGTTTTGTACAACAAGAACTTGGTCTTCCAAGGAACAGTAAAGGGGAAGACAGATAATCCCCAAATCATATAACAGAAAAAGAGAGATTGTCAAGTAGACCATAGACCTACCTTACTAACCAAGGTATTAAATAGTTAATATGAAAATGAATAAATTGATATTTTAATGAATCATACATGTCATATTTTCTTCATGATTTTAACTTGGGGTAGCTGCTTTGTTTTTTCGTTGGTTTTAAATATACTTAATTTTCTGGGTGTTCTTGGTTTGAATTATTTTAATGTTTTGTCCTTTTTTTATTTAGAGTACCTTTGAGAACTTTTTTTTAACTTGTTTCTTTACATTCATTTTGATCAATGTAGTGATGACTTTCACCTGGTATTGCTTCTAGTGTTAAGTTTTTCTCTCTAATATTCCAATTTGTTTCAGAACTTTCCAACATTTTCATGGATATTTACTATGCCTTTAGACATTTGTAGAAATTAAGATATTGGTAAGACGAAATGTGGACCATGTTTCCAGTGTGAATCTAAAGTACAATGTCCAAGGCGCCTCGGATCATGATATACGTCTATACTAGGGCTGGGACGAGTCCAAATTTACTACCAGGGTACCCACCCCCCTGTTACCCGACCCTACCCAGGTACCCACTGTAGGTCTCAAGAGAGAGATACAAAATGTCCGATTGGGAATAGTTTGACCGTAGTCCTGGCAAAATGTATTTTGATACACATATATAAAAAATTCTCTGGTAATGCATGTATACACTGAAGTTGATTGAAGTTTTATCTTTATGCAAACATATGAAGTCAGAAGGAATGCGAACATTAGTCACTTATAGTGTAACCGTGGAAGTTCTAGATAGTTTTTGTCTTTAAACAATATATCACATGATTAACCATGGGTAGTCCTGTGGGTACCCGGGTCCTACTCAGTACCCACCCGACCCGAGTACCCGAGTTACCCGTCCCAGCCCTAGTCTATAACATGCATTAATTTTGCTTTTCTCACAACTTAACATGTATACCTGAGCTGACATTTTGTGCTACTACTGACCTACTGATGGAGACAGCATTAAGCTTACTCACTCACTTCACACACTGATGCAAGTCCATACATCCTTGTAGTCCTGTCTGCAGATTGGGGTACAAGCATGGCATATGTACACCCATGTCTGTTGATGGCATCGTATCCCAATTGCTTGATCAATGCTCATGATGTCAATCACTGGACTGTGTGATCCAAAATCGATTATTTACAGACTGCCGTCATATAGCTGGGATATTGCTGAATGTGGTGTTAAACAACAAACAAACAATGAAAACTTGATGTAATACTTCCTAAACATTGTCCTTCCAAACATTCAAGCTTCATGTAAATCACATCCGTCAGTAGTTCATGCATACCAATGCCATGAAACAGTTATAGTATCAAAATATAATGCCCCTCACCTTGCTTCTCTTGGGGTGTGGGGGCACGGGTGGCCCAGTCGTCTAAGGCGTTGCGATCTATGATTGTGGGTTCGAATCCCGGTTCACACAGATTATGTTTCTAGGTTTGTCAGCACCATACCCGTGCTCGTGGGTTTCATATAAGGGGGTAAAAGTCTGAGACCTGCATTACTTCAGGCTTTCCTCCCACATTAAGCTGACACGCCGCGATATAACTTGAATACTGTTAAAAGCGGCGTTAAACCCAACTCACTCTTTCACTCACTCTCATGGGGTGTGAAGGAAAATCTACAAATTGATTTATTTTGGCCTCAAGTATATATCCTAGTTTCTGTGTGCATCTTGAGTAAATATTGTCACAATAGTGCCTGATACTGTCTTACTTGCCTTCATTATGTTACAGTTTTATGTTAAAAGGTATCCGGTTAAATAGATTTTAAGCCCAGTAATAGATATTTTGTTCAGTCATTGACCATTGTTGGTCTTTGCTGTTGATCAATATGCATGTTTGTTTAGAAGTTTACATAAAAATTTAAATCCAGAGAAAGGTGAAATTTGATTTCTAGATCTTATCTTTTTCCACATTTCTTTTTTTTAAATGCCAGTTGATACGTAACGCAAGTAAAATAACAATATCATCAAACAAGACCATGCTTCCTGAGAAGGGTTTACAGGTACAAACAACATGGATGTGTTCGAGGGTACAGAGTAGGATGTAGAATGCTGTATAATCAGGCCATTAGGAAGTCATCATCATCATCATCATCATCATCATCATCATCATCATCATCATCCAACATGTCCAATACACAGCTGACTGCCTGTAATATTGCTGGTCAAATCCCCCACCCCAACACCATCCTCCTCTTTATATATAACACCCTATTCTCCCGCCATCCTGTTCCTACTACTTGCTGCACAACTATTTGTCCTTGTATTCAAGGTCTGCACAGGCTTTAATAGGCATTCAACTTTGATTCTACCTTTTAAAGGCATTGAAAATAGATACATTCATTTGAGATACCTTGAATAATCCTCATCAGCCCTATTACCTGTAGTACATTAGAAATAATACTTTCGACTTGAAGAAAACAATTTGTAAACAATCTACTTCTGGTTAGAGTTGAATATCCGCGAATATGTAACAAATTAAAAGGAAAAAATAAAAATAATGTATTTGCATAGTCTGGAAATTTTGTGAGGGAGCCTGAAAAGGCCTGGAATTGTTGGACTGAATTTTTATATGGACTTTTTTTATGGAGTATTTCTGATTTGATGTGTATCATGGTGTATGTATACCAAACAAAAGACGTCAGGGATCATAATTATTTTTGGAAATATTTTTTTGTAGTGACTGAGCGGGGCGGTCGGGTAGCCTAGTGGTTAAAGCGTTCGCTCGTCACACCGAAGACCCGGGTTCGTTTCCTGACATGGGTACAATGTGTGAAGCCCATTTCTGGTGTCCCCCGTCGTGATATTGCTGGAATATTGCTAAAAGCGGCGTAAAACCATACTCACTCACTCACTGTAGTGACTGAGCACGCAATTTATTAAAAATATCCCCAAAGATATTCATGATCCTTAGCTTTGTTTTGTTCAGTTTATGATGTATGTATGCTGTGTACAACAGTGCCTACCTGTCAGAGTCTCGCTTGTCCACCTGGGTCCCGTTCCACAAAGCGATCGTAACTACAATCAATCTTAGAGACTTACGTCGATTATAAAATCGTCTTAGCTAAAGTTTACGCCCGTTCCACAAAGCGATCTTAGGGCGATTGTAACTTTACAAGTTCTTAAGTAGCCGATCTTAACAAAGATCGGAATCTTCAGCCATGAAGATACGAAAGTTTCCCTAAGAGTGGCCTCCCTTGGTCATGTTTAGCAGACGACGCATTGTCGAAATATGGCTGAATCACAGACCTCTGTCGGCGTCAAACGCGTTCGTCGCAGCAATTTTTCAGCAAGCGAGATCGCTGTCCTTGTTGATGAGGTGTCTGTTCACCACACAACACTTAATTCCTCATTCAGCTCTACCGTCACCAATAAGCTGAAAGGCAGCATAAGGGAGGACATCGCTAACAAGTAAGTGAGCTGTGGACTGTCAGAATGTTATCTGATATAATAATAAGTCAACATACGCCATCTTTGTTGTTATGGTACAATATTTAAGATCGATTTTAGCGATCCTAAGTTGGTCCGGAGCAACTTAGCATTTTGATCTTAACTTACAACTCTCTTAGTTAAGATTGCTTTGTTGAACAGGCGGCCGATCGTAACCAAAATTTAAGATCGCGTACTTAGTGAGTTACAATCAACTTAGCCCTAAGATCGCTTTGTGGAACGGGGCCCTGTACTTAATGTCTTGAGTTTGTTAGTTGGCTGCATATGTGTACAAAGTGACTAAATCAGTCATATGGTTTGTTTTCAAATTAACTGTATAACCCACATTTTGTGTGGACTTATTAATAACACCGTCTCATTAAAGTCAGATATTTTACTCCTATATGATACCTCTCTGTGTGAAGATCTGATGACTTAACCATTCATCATAAAAGTTCACTTTCCACCCTTGCCGAACTATGCTGGAATTATGGACCAACGAGTTTATGCACAAAATCAGCATCCAGTTCATAAAGTGCCATGCAGATTTTGGTTGATTGCAAGATTTTCAAAGCATGTGTACCGTCAACAGATATTTTCTCAATATTTTCATGTTTTTAATCAAGGTTCTCATGTGATTTGATGCACTTCACAAAGTAAGACCAGTTTTATTACAATATGGATCTTGATAATCGATCAGATCGGCCTCACTGGGCCCCGCCATTTTGTTTGAAGCAAATGTAAGTGATATCAGAGGTGGACATAGAAGGGACGTTATTCGTAATAGCCACTGGTGGCGCTAGGATCCAGTCAAGAAATTCCAGCCTAGTTCGGCAAGGGTGGAAAATGGACTTTTACAGTCAGTTAACTCCCTTGCCTCGGGAAGATCAGCTGAACCCTGAGTGAACTTTGACCACCCAATCTAAAAGAAGGATGTGTGGGTTCTTCAGCCAATCAGATGTCAGCTTTCCTTTACCTCTTCAGTTGGAAAGTCTATTTTAACAAAGTAAACTTGTACAGAACCCAATTATTCCTTCGATAAGGGGTGTTCTGGAAGCCTAGTGGTTGAAGCGTTCGCTCATCACGCCGAAGACCTGGGTTCAATTCCCGACATGGATACATGTGAAGCTCATTTCTGGAGTCCCCCGCTGTGATATTGCTGGAATATTGCTAAAAGCGGCTTTAAACCTCACTCATTCAATCACTCCATTTGTGTTGCACACTGTTGTTTTTAATGTGTGTTTGTTTTTTAACGTAGCTCACAGCAATATTCATGCTATATGACTGCAGCCTGTAAATAAAAGAGTCTGTATCAGACAAACCAGTGATTCATATTATGAATCAACGATGACACATTCAACCAAGGCGCCGAGCCTGACCACCTGGTCCATAAAGTCGCCACGTATACGACAAGCATAGGCTGCTGGTAACCCACGAGGGGCGGCTGAAAAGTCTTGAGACGAACTATCATGGACTGGGTTGATGAAGTTGGTTTCTGATTATTCCTAACTCCGCACCTTCTTCTAACAGAGCTCAGAAAATATATTTGTGTAAAGTATCCACAACAATATGATGTCGCAGCCTTCATGATACACTTTCGGAAAAGGTCGTTTAAGTTTGTTCCGAGATACAGAAATCTGATATGCTTGTCTGTATGCCTCGATCACACATACTGAGAATTTAGAAGCCTCAGTGCTGATTGGCTGGATTCACCTGCCTCAAACTCCTATAGTCATCCTCAGATCTTAATGCAGTGAGGTATTGTATAGGAGTAAAAGATCTGATTGTAATGAGATTGTGAACAACAAATCCAAGGGATACTGTTTTCATCAATCTTTTTTCACAACTGGAAGTATTTTGCCCAACTACTTCCTCAATTGTGATGTATCATCCTCATGAGTGAAACCTGTATAATGGCTACCATATTGGACGTAATAAGCGCCCACAGCGACATTTGCTAAGATATTGGCTAGTGAACAATCCCAATTAGCACCCCTTCCGATTGATCAATGTACACAAGACTTATTCGCGTAACGAAATTTATCTTATAATTTTTTTTTCACCAAAATAATATTCTAATAAGAGCCCCCTATTTCTAATTTTGAGAACGCCCTGGGCGTTTATTACGTCGAATTCAGTAATGCTGTGCCATCTAATTTTATTATGTCATTTATCAGTAAAGATGAAAGTTTTGTCTTATATTTGAAAACAGCCATTTAGTTCACGAGTTTTTCCATATTCCTGCTTTTCGTCTGCTGGAAATTGCTTTTGAAATTTATCCAGCAATACATTTGTATCACGGGAAGGTTCCTCTTTGTCATGTTTGTCAGCATCACATTGTGGACCCGGGAAGATTCCGGGTTAGAATAGGTCTTCAGCAACCCATACTTGCCGTAAAAGGCGACTATGCTTGTCGTAAAAGGCAACTAACGGGATCGGGTGGTCAGGCTCGCTGACTTGGTTGATACATGTCATCGATCCCAATCCTGTGGATCGATGCTCATGATGTCAATCACTAGATTGTCTGGTCCAGACTCAATTATTTTACAGAGTGCCGTCATATAGCTGGAAAATTGCTGAGTGCGGCGTTAAACAACAAACAAACAAACAAGACAAAACAAACGTCACATTGTGACATCTTGGACTAAGGCCATTGGTGACTTGCTTCTTGGGTCAGGGCTGAGGTCTTCGACTTGACCAACACCAGGAAACAAACACAGGAACAACGGACAAACATAGCCTGATACTAATAACTTTGCACACTCCCCCTTCAACATGTAACACAGTCACAGCTGTTCATGCTCATAAATCACACAGGGTGGTTGGATAGCCCAGTGGTTAAAGTGTTGGCTCGGCATGCTGAAGGCCATGTTCGATTCCCCAAATGGGTACAAAGTGTGAGGCCCATTTCTGGTGTCCTTGACGTGTTATTGTTGGAATATCGCTAAAATAACTGTTAATACTCACTCACTGAAATAATTACACAGCTGACTGATTAATTATAACAGTTGCCATGGTTACGGAATAACATGAAATATAAATGTTAATTATATTAATTGAAATTAACTACTCCATGCTTTAAATGGTATAAAATAGAGTATGTATGTGTGTAATAATAGCTACCATTGCTTACTGGGTAAAATGTCACAATACTCGTATCTTGGATGCTGGACTTTTTTAACCACAGAGATGGGATTACTAGAGGGTAACAGCCACGCCCAAACTACTGGGAAATACCGTAAGTCAGATAGACCCAGTAGGTCTGTGAAACTATGGTAGATAGATCAACATAATAAAATTTGTGTTCCATTTTGAATCATGCTTGTCTGCCATTTTGGTTTAGCGTTGAACCCCTTGAGGGTGCTCAAAGGGTACTTATGGAACCAAATAATGTTCCACGACCATGTTTATGTTCTGGTTGCCTTGGATTCCAGAGATATATTTGTCAGCACTATATGTAGATGGTGTATGTGTTTTACAGATGAAGCACCAGGGTAAGAAGGCTGTTTCCGGTATCAAGGCAAGATTAAACGAGGTTAGTCCTACAACAGTCAGTTGACTGATTAAAACATGTTTTTATGTTTTAACATTTGGCATTTCTCTTGTAAACAGTGTAAACATGTGTCATGTTTCTTGCACAATTTAATGATTTTTCTTTCCTTAGGCTAAAAAAAAATATAGTCTCTGTTCTCAGGGACTGCATCATCAGAAAGTCTGCCGCATGTTTCGTTTTTATTTCCGTTTTCCAAAAAAATCAAAAGATCATAATTCTTAAAAACAATGCGATCCACTATAGCACGCAGTTACTTCCCTTTACTGCACATCTCATGATATGATAATGGCGGCAATAGGAGTTTGTATGCATGTATATTTAGGGAGGCCATTTCCGATGTTGGTGGTACACAACTGTTTATTTGGTTATGTACTAGCTTGAACAAGCAAACAAACAAAATCACCAACCGCCCGCACTATTTTTTCAAGTCATTGCCTGAGAACCAATTCTTTTATTTTTTTAGCCTTATATTGTAAAAACAGTATCAGTTTTCTGTTGACCTGTTAAGATTTCAAGCTTTTTTATAAATATAAAATTCTTGTATAGAATTAATCAACTTGCATTTGTGATGTATATTTCAACTGAATTAGATGCGGTGGTATGATATGACTTCCAGAACATTCTGACCAAAATTTGTTTCTTTGAAATATTTGTAATAGTATTTTTCTTTTAAAATGCACGAATGTTTCAAGAAGCACATTGTAATGTGACAGATTAACGAGAGCACAAAGAACTCGAAAGGTCTCCGGATGGGATCTCAGCGCACACCTGACCGACAGAGACCAGCCACTATCATTGGACCGACCATAAAGGGCTCGCGGGTAAGCTAAATAGTAGGGTTGTGTATTGGCAAAAAGATTGTATTGTGATCTGTATTATGAAATATTGGGAGCTAAAGTGTTGAGAGTGATTGACACTTATTTTACATGCAGATAATAATTTCGTTACGCGATTTTGATCAGACCATTCCTAGACTTGTAGTCCAGCCAAAATATAACTCCATAATTCCAGCCAAGTTCGGCAAGGGTGGAAACTTGACTTTTATAATCAGTTAACTCCCTTGCCTCAGGGAAATGGGAAAGTCGCTGCCATTTTTTAGTCATAGATACAGGAGAGATAACAACGTGAGAGCAAAATCACTTCCTTATTTCCGATGTTTTGTCAATCAATTACGAAGGGAAACATCATTTGTGAACAAATTTCTGTGTAGATTTTAGGTTAAATCATACAAATTACAACAAGACTTGTTTTCCCCCGCCCAACAAAGTTGGCGGGGGATATAGAAACGGGCTCCGTCCGTACGTCCGTCCGTCACGTTTCTTTTCCGGAGCATAACTCAGAAACCGTTCGATATTTTTTTATCAAACTTTGCAGGTCTGTCAGGTTCATGATGAACTGGTGCCTTTTGCTATTTAGAAATTTTAGAAATTTTTATTTTTAACGTTTCCATGGCAACAAGATGTACTTAGGTTCTTTGAGGGTAGGGTTCGTTTCCTGAGCATAACTCATAAACCGTTCAATATTTTTTCATCAAACTTTGCAGGTTAGTCAGGTACATGCTGAACTGGTGCCTTTTGCTATTTAGAAATTTTAGAAATTTTTATTTTTTACGTTTCCATGGCAGCAAGATGGACTTAGGTTCCAAACTCTTCTTTTTTTTACAATTTCCATGACAAGTTCCACCTCGCGTGAACTCGGTTAAAAAAGGTTAGGGTTTGTTTAGATTTAATTATGTCATAAATTCTGCAACAGGGGCGTGGGATATAGCCACATTAGTGGCAAACTCTTGTTGTAATTGTTTTTCCCCAACATAAAGGTGAAGAAGCTTTAAATCATTGGCTACTGGGAGTATGCCTACTTACTGAGTTCTTTCTTCTTTCAGCCTCCAAGACCTCCGCCAGTGTCAGCTGCCAATCTCAGAGCAAAAACATTAGAGAGGTAACATCAGACTAGGAGACAAGTGCTACATTTCTCATGCTGTGATAACTCTTGGTTTCATTTTGGGTCACAGGTGACCCGGTTCGCAAAACGGTGTGATTTGCTGTACAAAGTTGTGTCCCTTAGGCGTACCAGAAACCTATGATAGTGGGTTTGAATCCTGGTTTGTCCTGATTATGTTTCTAGGTTTGTTAGCTCCATACCTATGCTTCGTGGTTTCACCAAAGTGGTAAACGTCTGAGACCTGCATCACTTTGGGCTTGCTTCCTACAGTAAGACGACACACATAGATTTAACTGGTATACTATTAAAAGAGGCATTAAACTCAACTCACTCACTCATCTCAAGGATCATGTTGGTTCATTAACCAATAACAGCAAGGCATCTATGATCTGTGAATAAATTTTACATTTGCAGAAATATGATAATAGTTTTTTTTCATTTATACTTAGCAATATAAGACTTAAAAAGAAATTATGAAGAAATGTTATTTTGCGGCAATATGACAAATAAGAAATGCACAATGAAATATTTTAACAAAGATTAACATTTTTACACACACACACACACACACACACACACACACACACACACACACACACACACACACACACACACACCCCAATTGCGTGGATCAATGCTCATGATATCAATCACTGGATTGTCTGGTCCAGACTCGATTATTTACAGACCATCGTCATATAGCTGGAATATTGCTGAGTGCGGCGTTAAACAACACAAAACAAACAAACTTAGCTGAAACGGAGGTAGGTGTCATTTCCGGAGCAGAACTAAAAACCTGTTCAAAAGTTTTCATCCAGACTTGGTACAGTATTAATCAGAGGCTGAATTGGTGCATTTTGCTATTTAGGAATTTTTATTTTTTTATTTTTTTCCACTCTCCATGGCAACAATTTTGACTTTGACTCTATTCATAGTAGTGTGTTTGTCTGGACCATATCTCTAAAACTAATAAGTATTCTTTCATGAGACTTTGCACACACAGAGACCAGGTGGTCAACTGGTGTATTTTGCTATTTAGGGATTTTTAGTATTTATATTTTTTCCATTTCCATGGCAACAAGTTTGAATGGTCATAGTGATGTTGTCCGGACCATATCCCTAAAACTAATAAGTATTCTTTCTTGAAACTGTGCACACACAAAGACCAGGTTGTCAACAGGTGCCGTTTGCTATTTAAGGGAGTTTAGTATTTATATTTTTTTCCATTTCCATGGCAACAAGTTTGACTTTGTTCATATTGGTGTGTACTTGACATAGAAATACAAACTTCCGGATCCCAATTCCATGGTATTGTTTTGATAGCTCAATAACTACTCTTGTATAGGGACAGACAGATTAGATAGAAATTCTTTCATCAAGATTGACTTAAAGTAACAGTCAGGTGAGTTGTTCTTTCAAATTTGTGGGGGTGGGGTCAATTTGTCATCTTCTGATGACTCTTGTATGAACTTGCAATGATGACAGAAATTTACGAAAATTTCCAAATTTTCGTAATCATTGCAATTTAATACAAGAGTCATAGCATGGGAGGTTTTCTCTCAGATGCTTTTTCTGTCTCAATAACCCCAAACTTCAACCATATTTTCAGGCCAACGACGATGTACAAAGTGCTGGACGTCCCTGAAGATGAGTCTACGACAGACGATGACCCGATGTCAACATACCAGCGTGTAAGCTGCAGCCTCCTGTCCGACCCAGAAATACAGCAGGCATACCAACGATCTCCCACCTCCGAACTCTGTGGAGAGGTCAAACACATTATTACACGATACATAAGACAGAACACTATATCGTTTGGTCTTGGGTATCTCTCCCCCATAAGTAACCAGTCCTGCATGGTGCCATTATGCTCTGCAGCCAGACCACTGTGATGATTGTTTGTTTTACAAATCTGCTTGACCTGCATGTCCACACGAAAAGACTAAACAGGAAACTAAGAACATGTTGATTGGAGCTTAATTACGAGATGAATGTTAATTCAGTAACCGAAGAATTCAAGTGGTTTATTTGAAAATTACATGTCAAGCTGGTTTTAATTTCCTAGAATTTGTTTTGAAAAATATGAATAAAGAGACATTCAAAATATGCCACTCAACCACACCTTTGACTGAGGATGACTATGTTCGTCCTCAGCAAATGTGGAGTAGTGTAGTCATTTTTAATCAAACACCACATTGTATCTTCTTTTTTTTCTTTCATTTTTTTTTCGTTTTTTCAAAAGATAATAGAGGCTCGTATGTAAAGCAAACAAGAATTGGTCTGGCTTAAGTAAAATATTTACTCGTATCTCATCCTTTAACACTGACAAAAAGGCAAATCACAAGTCTTTGTCTGGAAACTAATAGCTCTTGACTCTTCTAATACACATATTCTCGACTCACTACAAGAGAATGAAAGGCCAAGAAAAGATTTGCTGATTTTTCGGAGAAGATTTTGAGGAGAAGGTCATGCTTAATGCAGGTTGCGGTTTACTTGTCCTGTCGGTGGTCATGGTTGTCATGGTGATGGTTGTCATGGTGATTAGGACTCTGAGGGCTAGGAAAAAACTAACCAGAATAAAAATCCAGAGAATAAATATCGGACAAAAAAGATTCCATCAATTGTGATCACTGGTGGCAATGTTCACATCTGTTTACAAAGTTTTCTGTGTATTCATAATCGTTTTGGAACAATGTAAATTTGTGAGAGATTTTGGAATTGTATTGTCAATGTGGGATTGCTTGTCGGATTGTGATAGCAGTGGTTACAAAGTGTGGGTAACTTTGTGTTATAAGCATCCCAAACATTACACCTGTTGTAAGCATGTGCTTGCGGTTCAGGAATATATTCACCTAAAACTTTAGGCATGTGCAGTGGCAGACATCATTCCTTGCATCCAAACACCATTGTCTGGCTAACCAATTAAACTTTTCCCAACGTAAACAAATGCATAAAGCTAGTTCCAACCGATTTGATAATGGCCAAAAAGTGAATTTACGTAATACGTAATTTATTTTCATATTTTGATACTTTGTATTGTAATTCGTCCAATTACTAGTGTACATTATAGAAAATACGGGAGCACGGGTGGCCCAGTCACTAAGGTGCCGCGATTCACTGTACAGTGTTGCGTCCCTTGGGCACCTATGATTGTGGATAGAATCCCAGTCCAGACCGATTATGTTTCTAGGTTTGTCAGTGCTACCTGTGCTTGTGGGTTTCACCAATGTGGTAAACGTCTGAGACCTGCATCACTTCGGGCTTTTCTCCCACATTAAGCTGACACGCCGTGATATAACTGGAATACTGTTAAAAGCGGCGTTAAACCCAACTCACTCACTCACTTATAGAAAATACCCATATTTAATTTCTTTTGACAAGTGTCTGTGAGTTATCTCCCCTTATTTGGTGTTCGAGTCCTTGAACTATGCCTCAAGTCTATCTATACCCATCCTGTACTCAAGTATCTGTCAGGCCTAACACTGTTGGTAGTTTTGGTGGTGGTGCAGCTTAATGGTGTAGTGGTAGTCGTTTAGAGTTATGTGCCCTTGCTGACGTAGGGGTACCCCAGTGGTTAATCATTTGATCTTAATACCTAAGGCCTGGGTTCGATTCCCTTTATGGTTGCAATGTATGAAGCCAATTTCTGTTGTTGCACGCTGTGATATTGCTGGAATATTCCTGAAAGCAACATAAAATCAATTATCTTATTTGTAAATTTCTATCTTGTTTATACGTTTCCAGGAAATTAAATGTTTGTAACTCATAATGATAGTCGGTTCCATGTGTCATTAGCTTGGTGTGGTAGATCATGCGCACATGGAGCGTACTAGGTCATCACACAGCAAACTCATAAAATCTTTGAATCAAAAATGTGTTTTAAGCCTAACCCCAGGAGGTTTCTATATTCCCCAGGGGCGGTCGGGTAGCCTAGTGGTTAAAGCGTTCGCTCGTCACGCCAAAGACCTGGGTTCGATTCCTGACATGGGTACAATGTGTGAAGCCCATTTCCGGTGTCCCCCGCCGTGATATTGCTGGAATATTGCTAAAAGCGGCGTAAAACCATACTCACTCACTCACTATATTCACAATGTCAGTGTAATCACACAGTCAGTCATGCAGCCTTCTTACTTACACTGACTGCATTTCCTACTAACATACCCATTCCTCTATCACAATTTCACATTCACTGATATGTGCCTTGTTATCCATCTCCCATTTCAACTGTTTTATTTTCTTCAGCAAGCCAGTGATGACTCCTCAGTGGAAACTCCCTCAAGTGGCTCGCAGACACCTGCAGAGATGGAGGATTCTGGGATACCATACATTGGGCTGAACTCAAGCCCTGCGCCACAAGTCACAAATGATACTCAGGCAGAGTTGTCTCCCTTACCAAGGTCCTCTCCTGTGATACGAAGGGCAAACGGAGCCCCTAGTATGGTTATTCAAGGACCTCCCCCGACTGCTGCCCCTAGGTCAAGGTCGTTAAAAATCGTAGGTCCACGTCCTCCACCACGACCATCAAAGACTAAACCAAATGAGGAACAATTGATAAGATTTGAGTCGATAGAGTCCGAGCCTGAAACTGTGTTTGATCCATTTGCAGTTAGTAATACACAGTCACCTGCCAGTCAAGCAAACCTAGCTGATGATTCCTTCGAATGTTCTCCAGGGTTTGATAGAGGGAGGCCTAACCGAAGTTCGCTCATAAACCGGTCACCTGCATTCCGAAAAACAGGACACGAAACGCCTGTACGAAACTCCTACAAACCGGACAATTCACCCGAAAATTCAGAAGTCGAAGACCCAAAGCTGCTATTCGATCCTCTGGCTGGATTCGACAAATCAATTAACCCAGCTCTTTCCAGTCTGTCAAACCCCACTAGCCCGAAATCCCCGTCATTATTACAAGAATGGTCATTCAGCCAGCTGACCAGCTCCCCAGTGGTCAGTCCGCCCCCAAGACCACAACAAGGCACCATGTCAAACCCTGCGTACAACATGACAATGCCACAATCCATGAGGAACCAAAAGCCACTGATGGCGCCAAAACCAGGGCAACCGCAGTTTTGTTCAAGTCCTCTTTACAAAGACCCCAGGGTGTCGAATCCGTTGTATGTTGGTATGACATCGAACAGTACCTCTCGGGCAGTGAGTCCGACTCCACCTGCTCCTGTTCCCCCAAATGACCCTTTTAAAGACATCGGTGAACTGAACGAACTAGTTCGGTTGAGTATTGGTCCTCAGATTACCAAACCAACGAATATCCCGCAAGGGGAAACCAGAAAGAGTCGTACATGGGAGACATTCGATTGACGTGCATACAGAGCTATATATTGACTGTGATATATTTCAGTTGTTATTTTATGTGTGTACATCGTTACATTTGTACGACGTTATGTGTGTACGCCAATGACCGTATACACCATTATGTGTGTATGGCGTTTGTGCAGGATCACGTTGCTGCCTGATTGGTCTCGGATTCATGTGGTACTCCATTGTTGATAATCATTGTTACTTCTTGTGTTCGTGTTACCATGGTTACCTATGTGTCAGTCTGTTATAGAAACTATACAGGTTATGTCTGTACAGGTTATGTCGTTTCTGTAAACTGTGCATTGAATCAACTCATGTGAGGCTGACTTGTAAATACAATAGGCTGTCAAACAATAGAAATTAAGATTCTATCACAAAGGAGATGTTAAGGTGTTGTCATTCTTGTAAAATAAGATGAATATATAAACAACATTAAATTCGAATGAAACTAGAGTTATCTCCTCCTGTTGGCCTACTAGAAATAAATTCATTAAAAAAATACATGCCTTTTGATTTTCACCCTCTGAAATATAGGTTCTAAAAGTTGTAGTTTTGTTCCAAATTTGTAAAATTATCAATTGATAAGAACTGTAAGCCAAATAATGAAGAATAAATTTCCCTAGTAATGAAGAATGTGTTTTAGGTGCTTTGGACAACAAAGATAAGCATTTCAGCTTCGAGGAAGTAAACAGTGAGCACTGTGTGTTATTGTAGATTGCACTGAAACTTGCCTCTTCGAGTGGTTAAACGCTGGTTGTCTGGTCGTCTGCTATGATCGTCATGAAGTATTGTGTAATTTTGATGTACCAGGCTGTAAAATAACACACAAAGATCTCATTTGACATTTGACGGGGGTCCGTGATATCAAGACGTTTGATGTTTGAATGAGGTGTATTTGAATGAATTAAGTTTCTGTTTCCTAGATGAGTAGTTTAGTGTCTCATGTTTTAGACATTATTTGTGTCTGTACAACAATGTTGGTATCATTACGATAATGAGGGTTCTTCAGTTGGTTTTGTTTTCGACTATTATCTAGACATGAATCTGCTCAATTAAGTTCAAGGAAACCTCGCTGATTTACATGTGACTAGACTATCGCTTACCGTAGTCTCAAAATATACATAATTTTGATTGAAACAAACAGCTCCATTTAGACTGAAAAGGAGCCCCAGTGAGATGGGTGATTCGGGAACTGTTGAAAATCTAGACTTGCCCCATTTGTAATATTTAGGGCTATAGCATTACAATAAGGGCAGGGTGGAAGGGGAAATATTCTACTCAAAACAAGTTTAGGAACACCCGTTTTGACAGATTAACATCTAGTATAGTAATATGGAAAAAAATGGGTCCCCCTTTCTTCTTTTGAGTAGTATAAAATGGTTCAGGGACTGTTAGACAGACTAACATCCAGAGTATGATTACGGTTGTGAAGGGCTGTAATCTTCAACTGCCTTCATTTAACATCTGGGGCGGTCCGGTAGCCTAGTGGTTTATGTGTTCGCTCGTCACGCTGAAGACCCAGGTTTGATTTCTGACATAGGTACAATGTGTGAAGCCCATTTCTGGTCCCCCTGCTGGGATATTGCTGGAATATTTCTAAAAGCGGCATAAAACCATACTCACTCACTCACTCACTCATTTACCATCTGTTTGTGTCTCAGTTGCATTTTTCGAGTGACTTTTTCCAAGATACCTCCTTGCATTAACCCTTGTGAACTAGTTTTGCACTGAACACATCAACTAGGTAAATCAGTTTCTTCTGAGATGATGACTAGAATTTATTTTGTTCTGCACAGTTAGTATTATGATTGTAGACCATGGGGATCAGTTTTAAGATTAGTGTTTACAGTCTTATCTTTTGGGGAAATATTTGTTAATCCCTGGTATCAAAAGGCGTCTGTAAGTATGAAAACATCACTGCTGTAAAGGGGCACCCATAGGTCAGACAAGTAACACTGACAGACCATGGTGCTCTTAAGGATTCCGTGCGAACCGAGGTGCCGTTGTGCAACGTAACCTTAGCGCAACGACTGTCGTAAGTCTGTTAAGGTATGGGAGTTACAATCACCTTAACGCTAAGATTGCTTAAGGATTCCGTGCGAACCGAGGTGCCTTTGTGCAACGTACGTAACCTTAGCGCTACGACTGTCGTAAGTCTATGTGAAGGTATGGGAGTTACGACCACCTTAGTGCTAAGATAGCTTTGGACAACGGCACCCAAGTTGTTACGTTACACTGTACCTTGCTGGACAATGTGTGACATTTACCTTTATCATATAATGGAAAGAGGTATCACATTCCCATAAATATGCAAATGAGATCAGTAAACAGGAACTACTTTCAGTAGGCTCTGTACATCAGTGGGATGTTTACTTGTCAAAACCTGTGCATCTCATTCCCAAATATTAAGATATGCTTTCCTGATGTGTCAGTGTCTATGTCAACAAACATGGCTGCATGTCATTTGGCACTACATCAGAAATAAGGCGATTTACTCAGGCATTGTATTCCTACACTATTTCAGAAATTACCCAATGTGAATGAAAACAAGAAAAATACTTTTTGTCAAAGGTTGTTTGTTTGTTTGTTTGTTGTTTAACGCAGCACTAAGCAATATTCCAGCTATATGAATGCAGGTTGGAGTGGTCTGGACTTGATAACGTACAGGCCTCTGTGATTTTGCTGGAATATTGCTGAAGGATTCATAAGACAACAATTCTTCACTAGGAATGAAGTGAAATATAGGCTGTGACAAATGCTAGAGATCCAGATATGCTGTGTATGTGCGTACAATATGTAAAACACATTACCATAACATAATTAATTTTGGTGCCTGTGTACAAATACAAATACACACGAAAAATTAAAAACCCAGTAGTATAACACAACACTGCATAATTACCCCATGTAGTCTTTTCAGATAGACTAACATCTAGTCTTTGAAATCAACCTATTTTACAGATAGAAACAGTTGTTAAATCATAGTTGTGAAATGTAATAAAAAGGAGCCCAGAGACTTCCTTCATTTTCAGACAAAAATATAGTCTCTGAAATGAACAAATTTTATGGATAAAAATAGTTGCTAAGTAATAGTTATGAAATATAATAAAAAGGAGCCCAGAGACTCCCTTCATTTTCAGACAAAAAGATAGTCTCTGAAATGAACAAATTTTATGGATAAAAATAGTTGCTAAGTAATAGTTATGAAATATAATAAAAAGGAGCCCAGAGACTCCCTTCATTTTCAGACAAAAATCTTGTCTACTGATTTCCTGATACTGCAGTTTTCTAGACTTGCTAAATATTATAGACTTGCATGGGCTGTATTGGATATATTTGTTTCAGGGTCTGTATGACAGACTATCTTTTCAGCTTGCATAGCTATACATCTTTACAGATATTTACTGACTGATATTGTAACTTAGACATGTATTGCTGTTGTGCTCATGTGACGCACTTGGGGAAGCTAATGAACAGGTGAAATAGAAGCCATTGAGGCAGAGCTACTGTAAAGAAAGGTCCTCTCATTGGTGTAACAATACCCACTATACTGGATCCAAGTGAGCAGAAACACATGGAGTACCCAAAGAATATTATCTATACCCCATGTGTTTACATGTGAGTAATAGGCGACTTACGAGATCAGGTCGTCAGGCTCACTGTCTTGGTTGAAGCATGTCACCGTGTCCCAATTGCGTGGATCATTGCTCATGATGTCAATCACTGGATTGTCTGGTCCAGAATCAATTATTTACAGACAACTGCCTTATAGCTGGAATATTGTTGAGTGTGGCATTAAACAACAAATTTACAAAACAAACAAACAAACAAACGTGTGTGAATACTCAGTAGCTTATAAAACTGTCTGGAGCCTTGAAATAGCAAGTTTGACATGGTATGAGTATTATTGTTCATGTGAATAGCAAGTTTGGGAGGGAAGAGACTGAACACCTCAATAATTAGATAAAATTTAATAAAGGTCATAGACAATACGCAGGAAATACTATAAGTTGTCAACTCTCTAGGGTTATATGGTGTGATGTACCCTGTGTTTGAGTCTGTGTACCCCAAGGCTCGGGGTACATAGGCTCACACACAGGATACATTACACCAATGCCCCAAATGAATTGACAACGAATTTATCTCACCGACATTCATTCATACAGACCCAGAAATAAAATATCTGAAGTTTCACTGAGTAAAATGCTTTGATTCAACCATTTTGACAGCTAGCAGATGATGCATACAGAATTAATTCCCTTTACCCAATGCATTCGAATAAGCATCGGTCCATTTCAGCTCAACGCGAGATTACCTAATGTGTGTTCCGATTAATATATCAGCGGGATGCATGGAAAATAATTGCCCTCTCCTTAACCAATTAGAAGCTAGTATTTTAATGTAAGGTGAGATAAAATATGTTATAGAATGTTATGAATTATTTTGCTATGAAGGAGATGAAGGTGCAGAATGCATCATATTTTTGTATGAAGTTGCAGTTACTGTGTGAAGAGAGCACTTGTTATCATGTTACTGCTCTGAGTGTTATAGTCAATTGTAGGATGGTTTAAACTTGTTTGTGTTACATTGAAGGGAAAGGTCAACAACCACTTACCTTGATCTGTAGGGAAATTAATGGGACTGAAATATGTTATGGTGTAATGATTCATTAAATATATATCAAAATCGTACAGGCACAGTGATATTAGCTCAATGCTCTTTCAGTGAGAGAGATCGTTATTTCAACTTTTGTGATCACCTGAATTTTTCTTCATCATCATCATGTGTATGGCAGGTACATTTGTCTTTTGATTCTATATTATGAGATGAGGGCCTTGTCCCACAAAGCAGTCTAAGCAGTACAACTATCATAAGCCAGTGGGGGGTACGGGTGACCCAGTCGTTTAAGGCGCCACAATTCGGTGTGCAGAGTTTAGTCCCTCGGACACGCCAAAACCTACGATTGTGGATTCAAATCCCGGGTTGCCCTGATTATGTTTCTAGGTTTGTCAGCACCATAGGTTTCACCGAAGTGGTAAACATCTGAGACCTGTGCCACTTCAGGCTTTCCTCCCTCAATAAGCTGACATGCCATGATATAACTGGAATACTGTTAAAAGCGGCGTTAAAACCAACTCACTCACTCACTCATAAGCCAATGTTAAAGCATGGGAGATACAATCACCTTAGCGTAAAGATCGCTTCCTGGAAGCGGGCCCTGACCAACTTTATGTCCTAGTGTAGACTTTGTACGTCAATAATCCCTGGTGAAATCCTTTTGTCAAAAGCTGTAGTGAGCGACTTCCACATCAGTGCAGTCAATCACAAGGTCACATAAAATTTTCTGTGAAGGGGGGTGGTGATTGGAGGGGAAAGGGGGTGGGGGTACAAAATGAAACATGATGCAGCGAAACGAGGGGTATGAAAAAGTTATATAGATCAGTCTCTCTTTCCTCCTCCACCTCTTCCTCCTTTACCTTCTTCTCCTTGTGTTTACTAGTGTCGGAAAGTTTGAAATATGTCCCACCTGTTGTGAACTAAAATTGGGAGGATCTGGTGATCGGGTGTTTGCCTTGGCTCAGTGTCTTTGTGCCTCATGGCGTAATTTGTTGCTCACCATTTCAGTCACTGGTTGACCTGGGCTCATTTGCACAAACCCATCTCAGCCATCTTAGCGTTACAACAGTCATAAGTCACTGTTAAAGTATGGGAGTTACAATCGTCTTAGCGCTAAGATACCTTTAGTGCAAGTGGTCGCTGGAACCCATTTCACAAAGCGATCCACAAATCATAGCGCTAAGACAGTCACCTCAGCTATGATTGCTTTGTGAAATGGGGCCCTTGCCTAGACTAGATAACTTACATGCCACTGTGATAGTGCTGGGGTTCATTTAGAAGATTATTCTCTTGAGATTAACGAACACATAATAGTGACCTCATTTCACCATCTAGATATGTGCTAAACTTCGAAACAATTTGATTAGACTACAGGTGAAATGGAACTTCAATTGTCAAGGTATCAAGTTACCATGATTACAGGATAATGGTTACATTATGTCGTCAGGGGGTGTACAGTTGAACCCTTTGTCTCCAACTCCTGGGGACCAGAGAAATAGTATAACTTGTCCAGGGTTTGACACATCACACTCGACCAGATTGACGTCAGAGTAACATTTAACTTATTTGTAATTCTTTGTACTATAAATTGACTAAGAGACAACCAGGAATTTGACACCTCCCTGTTTCTCACTTCTAGGTTAGGGCGGTTGGGTAGCCTAGTGGTTGGAGCGTTCGCTCCTCACCCCGAATACCTGGGTTCGATGGGATACATGGGTACAATGTGTGAAGCCCATTTCTGGTGTCCCCTGCCGTGATATTGCTGGAATATTGCTAAAAGCGGCGTTAAACCATACTCACTCACTCACTTCCAGGTTAATTTTGTGATAAATATAGTAAGAGTTTGCCAGGACCCGGATGTGAGTTTGACACAACCATGAATTTGGCACACCCGACCGAGTTCAAGACATGGTTTGACTGTATTTGCTAAGCTATCCAGTTGCCATGGTTGCTGGATAATTATTATGTTATCCCCTGGGTATATATATACTTAACTGTATATTGCATTGTAAATAGCATCTTTAAGATAAATCTGAGCTTTAAGTGAAGCTGTAAATGCTCGATGGGTTCTGCAATATGTAGCATAGTGTACTATAAGTCAAGTGCATTTGTTGTGTGTAGATATCAATAAATAAACAAGTGCACAGGTGCGTCCCTCTTTGTTGTTTGTATGCTGAAACATCCAGCACCCTGAGAAGACTCGAGTTACATGTTTTGTTTGTTTAACGCCGCACTTAGCAATATTACAGCTAGATGGCGGTCTGAAAGTTATTGAGCCTCGACCAGACAATCCAGTGTTTGTTTGTTTGTTTAATGCCACACTCAGCAATATTACAGCTATATGGCAGTCTGTAAATAATTGAGCCTGGACAAGACAATCCAGTGTTTGTTTGTTGTTTAACAAAGCACTCAGCAATATGACGGCGGTCTGTATGGGGCTGGACCAGACAGTCCAGTGATCGATGTCATGAGCATTGATGCACACAATTGGGATACGATGGAATGCATCAACCAAGTCAGCGAGCCTGACCACCCTATCCCGTTTGTCACCTCTTACAACAAGCAAAGTCGCCAGACAATACAGTGAACAACAATACAATATTGTGAGCAACAATGTGCGCTGTTGGGGTAAGATGATACACATCAACCAAGTCACTAGCCTTACCATCTGTTCCAATTGGTCATTTCTTACAACCAGCATCGATTGCTGGGGACCTATTCTAACCCAGATTCCCAAAGTTACGCTCATGATATCAACAACTGGTATACGTGGAATCTCTACAGGGATCTGGGGTTAGAACAGGTACCACCATTCTATTGCTTGTCGTAGTTGACTAGATTGGAACAAGGGACAGGCTTGGTGACTTGGGTGATTGTATCATCGTAGCCAACAGTATGGGTCAGTTCTCAGAATATTTGTTTTTTGTTGGGTGTTTGATGCCACACTCTGCAAAATTCCAGATGTATGGCAGGGACTTATGAAAAGTGGACCAGACAATCCAGTGATTAATATTATGAGCAACGATATATTGTCACCAAATCCGACCAGCTGATCGCATAGGTTGCTAGGGACCCATTCTAGTCCAGATTTCTAAATTCTGCCCATGATATACCTGTTCCGGACTTGAATTTTTGCAGGAGCCCCATATATTTCTGAGTGAGTGTTAAATTGTATCTTTTTTCATCTGACTATTCAGATAACCTACATATGAAGTAGGCAGATTCATACAGTTTGCACATCGGTTTTTCGATTCATACCTCAATGAACTGAAAAAAATACAGTCAATCCTTAAATACTGTCAAGGTGTGTCACAGATCTATTTATCTGTGCTGTTGGGGCTTGTCACAGATCTATTTATCTATGCTGTCGGGGCTTGTCACAGATCTATTTATCTATGCTGTCAGGGCTTGTCACAGATCTATTTATCTGTGCTGTCAGGGCTTGTCACTGATCTATTTATCTATGCTGTTGGGGCTTGTCACAGATCTATTCATCTATGCTGTCAGGGCTTGTCACAGATCTATTTATCTATGCTGTCAGGGCTTGTCACAGATCTATTTATCTGTGCTGTCAGGGCTTGTCACATCTATTTATCTGTGCTGTCAGGGCATGTCACAGATCTATTTATCTGTGCTGTCAGGGCTTGTCACAGATCTATTTATCTTTGCTGTCAGGGCTTGTCACAGATCTATTTATCTGTGCTGTCAAGGTGTGTCACAGATCTATTTATCTGTGCTGTCAGGGCTTGTCACAGATCTATTTATCTATGCTGTCAGGGCTTGTCACAGGTGTATTCATCTATGCTGTCAGGGCTTGTCACAGGTCTATTTATCTAGGCTGTCAGGGCTTGTTACAGGTGTATTCATCTCCAGGGTTGCAGTAGTAACCTCAACAGCTGCCCCGACAGATGACAACCACCTTCACATGACACATCCCGACAGATGAGAACCACCTTCACATGACACATCCCGACAGATGACAACCACCTTCACATGACACATCCCCACAGATGACAACCACCTTCACATGACACATCCCGACAGATGACAACCACCTTCACATGACACATCCCGACAGATGACAACCACCTTCACATGACACATCCCGACAGATGACAACCACCTTCACATGACACATCCCGACAGATGACAACCACCTTCACATGACACATCCCAACAGATGACAACCACCTTCACATGACACATCCCCACAGATGACAACCACCTTCACATGACACATCCCCACAGATGACAACCACCTTCACATGACACATCCCGACAGATGACAACCACCTTCACATGACACATCCCAACAGATGACAACCACCTTCACATGACACATCCCCACAGATGACAACCACCTTCACATGACACATCCCGACAGATGACAACCACCTTCACATGACACATCCCGACAGATGACAACCACCTTCACATGACACATCCCGACAGATGACAACCACCTTCACATGACACATCCCGACAGATGACAACCACCTTCACATGACACATCCCGACAGATGACAACCACCTTCACATGACACATCCCGACAGATGACAACCACCTTCACATGACACATACAGACAGATGACAACCACCTTCACATGACACATCCCAACAGATGACAACCACCTTCACAGGACACATCCCGACAGATGACAACCACCTTCACATGACACATCCCGACAGATGACAGCCACCTTCACATGACACATCCCGACAGATGACAACCACCTTCACATGACACATCCTGACAGATGACAACCACCTTCACATGACACATCCAGACAGATGACAACCACCTTCACATGACACATCCCGACAGATGACAACCACCTTCACATGACACATCCTGACAGATGACAACCACCTTCACATGACACATCCCCACAGATGACAACCACCTTCACATGACACATCCCGACAGATGACAACCACCTTCACATGACACATCTCGAGAGATGACAACCACCTTCACATGACACATCCAGACACATGACACATCCAGACACATGACAACCACCTTCACATGACTCATCCCGACAGATGACAACCACCTTCACATGACACATCCCGACAGATGACAACCACCTTCACATGACACATCCCGACAGATGACAACCACCTTCACAGGACACATCCCGACAGATGACAACCACCTTCACAGGACACATCCCGACAGATGACAACCACCTTCACATGACACATCCCGACAGATGACAACCACCTTCACATGACACATCCCCACAGATGACAACCACCTTCACAGGACACATCCCGACAGATGACAACCACCTTCACAGGACACATCCCGACAGATGACACATCCCGACAGATGACAACCACCTTCACATGACACATCCCGAAAGATGACACATCCCGACAGATGACAACCACCTTCACATGACACATCCAGACACATGACACATCCCGACAGATGACAACCACCTTCACATGACTCATCCCGACAGATGACAACCACCTTCACATGACACATCCCGACAGATGACATCCACCTTCACATGACACATCCCGACAGATGACAACCACCTTCACATGACACATCCCGAAAGATGACACATCCCGACAGATGACAACCACCTTCACATGACACATCCAGACACATGACACATCCCGACAGATGACAACCACCTTCACATGACTCATCCCGACAGATGACAACCACCTTCACATGACACATCCCGACAGATGACAGCCACCTTCACATGACACATCCCGAAAGATGACACATCCCGACAGATGACAACCACCTTCACATGACACATCCAGACACATGACACATCCCGACAGATGACAACCACCTTCACATGACTCATCCCGACAGATGACAACCACCTTCACATGACACATCCCGACAGATGACATCCACCTTCACATGACACATCCCGACAGATGACAACCACCTTCACATGACACATCCCGACAGATGACAACCACCTATACAGGACACATCCCGACAGATGACACATCCCGACAGATGACAACCACCTTCACATGACACATCCCGAAAGATGACACATCCCGACAGATGACAACCACCTTCACATGACACATCCAGACACATGACACATCCCGACAGATGACAACCACCTTCACATGACTCATCCCGACAGATGACAACCACCTTCACATGACACATCCCGACAGATGACAGCCACCTTCACATGACACATCCCGAAAGATGACACATCCCGACAGATGACAACCACCTTCACATGACACATCCAGACACATGACACATCCCGACAGATGACAACCACCTTCACATGACTCATCCCGACAGATGACAACCACCTTCACATGACACATCCCGACAGATGACATCCACCTTCACATGACACATCCCGACAGATGACAACCACCTTCACAGGACACATCCCGACAGATGACAACCACCTTCACAGGACACATCCCGACAGATGACAACCACCTTCACATGACACATCCCGACAGATGACAACCACCTTCACATGACACATCCCGACAGATGACAACCACCTTCACATGACACATCCCCACAGATGACAACCACCTTCACAGGACACATCCCGACAGATGACAACCACCTTCACATGACACATCCAGACACATGACACATCCCGACAGATGACAACCACCTTCACAGGACACATCCCGACAGATGACAACCACCTTCACAGGACACATCCCGACAGATGACAACCACCTTCACACAACACATCCCGACAGATGACAAACCACCTTCACACAACACATCCCGACAGATGACAACCACCTTCACATGACACATCCAGACAGATGACAACCACCTTCACATGACACATCCAGACAGATGACAACCACCTTCACATGACACATCCGGACAGATGACAACCACCTTCACATGACACATGACAACCACCTTAACATGACACATCCCGACAGATGACAACCACCTTCACACGACACATCCCGACAGATGACAACCACCTTCACATGACACATCCCGACAGATGACAACCACCTTCACATGACACATCCCGACAGATGACAACCACCTTCACATGACACATCCCGACAGATGACAACCACCTTCACATGACACATCCAAACAGATGACAACCACCTTCACATGACACATCCAGACAGATGACAACCACCTTCACATGACACATCCCGACAGATGACAACCACCTTCACATGACACATCCCGACAGATGACAACCACCTTCACATGACACATCCAGACACATGACACATCCCCACAGATGACAACCACCTTCACAGGACACATCCCGACAGATGACAACCACCTTCACATGACACATCCCGACAGATGACAACCACCTTCACATGACACATTCCGACAGATGATAACCGCCTTCACATGACACATCCCGACAGATGATAACCACCTTCACATGACACATCCCGACAGATGACAACCACCTTCACACGACACATCCCGACAGATAACAACCACCTTCACATGACACATCCCAACAGATGACAACCACCTTCACATGACACATCCCCACAGATGACAACCACCTTCACATGACACATCCAGACACATGACACATCCAGACACATGACACATCCAGACAGATGACAACCACCTTCACATGACACATCCAGACAGATGACAACCACCTTCACATGACACATCCCGACAGATGACAACCACCTTCACATGACACATCCCGACAGATGACAGCCACCTTCACATGACACATCCCGACAGATGACAACCACCTTCACATGACACATCCAGACAGATGACAACCACCTTCACATGACACATCCAGACACATGACACATCCAGACACATGACAACCACCTTCACATGACACATCCAGACACATGACACATCCCGACAGATGACAACCACCTTCACATGACACATACAGACAGATGACAACCACCTTCACATGACACATCCAGACAGATGACACCCCTATGTGGAATAATTACCAACAAGCACTGGTCCAAATTGAGTTTTTATTGGTAAATGCATATTTACAATATTTCTAAAACATGAAATATTTCATTTCAAAATTGAAAACATTAAAACATTATTAAAATATGAATGAGGAAAAATGCAGTGTATTCCAATTGCTGGGCAGTGATATCTAAATAATAATTCAAGGTGATCCCAACTGTTATTGCTGAAATGGGATTTTGCCTATGAAAACAGCCTTCCACTATAGCATGGGACTGTCTGACAGCATGACGCTTTCACTGAGGAATTATACAGGATTGACGTTAAGGGCTGCTCGTCATCATCCGCAAAGCGGAAAAACTTCATTACATTCAGATTCAAACATTCTGATGAACATGAAGCTTATTGCAGTGTTCAATGTTAGGCCATAATAAATTCACTGTTACCTACAAACTGGTAGCGGGACGATACACCGATAAATCAATGGATCATGATTCTATACTTCTCGACACAACTATCGATCACATTCACATATTAAGTAAAACACATAAATTTTTACCTTAAAATTTTGCTTAATAAATGTTACACCAAACATTAATTAGTAGTGAAAATTAGTAGTGAAAATGTAAATATTTTCATCCTGTGCATCATACTTGACACTACTAACTGTAAATCCTTAGTGTGCCAGGTATATTTGGCCATCCTGTCTATGAAAATGATGGCTCACGTACCACAGATAAGAGCACATGCAAGTATCGTGATACATATCGGATCGTGAGCACGGTATCGTGACACGCATCGGATCACACAGTTGGTGTATCATCCCAGCCCTACAACAAACTCTACTTTCTTTCCTTGCTGAGTTAATACACAGGTGCCATTTGTCTTAAATAAAAATAAAATGCCTCCTTCAAATATTTTAATATTTGGATGAGTGAGTTGGCCTATATGGTGCTTTTAGCAATATTACAGCAGTGGCACCAGAAATAGGCTTGACACATTGTAACCATGTCAGGAATCAAACCCGGTCCTTCTGCTAGATAAGCGAATGCCATAACCACAAGGTTATGCCACCACCCTAAAATGTGTATGAAAAGGTAATACAGAATTTATTTTGGTCCTAATTTCATATTTCGCTGCAGACAAAACATGTATGAAAATATTGAAATTGTAGATTATTTAGCTATCAGAATATTCATAATATATTGGTCTGAGAAAAATTATTCCCAACACATATTTTAAGAGACAGAGACGGAGAACATGGGAACGAGGAGATCTTTGTATCTAATGTCATATGAAGTAAAATTGGCTTTGAGTATCAAGTTATTAAAAACACAATTCATCCCAATTCAAGGTGAAATCAATCAATGAAAATAACTGAATCTTAAAATTGTCGAGTAAAATTACCAATTTCAGTGAAACACTTTTCTTGTGAACGGTGATAACATCAGGTCTATTTCCAACCATGCAGATTATTTCAGTTCTTATCTTATTCTCCCTCGATCATCCACTTTATCATCCAAAACTGGGCCCGACAGGAGATCTCACATGGGTGACATCAAGCCATAGCAACATTGCAGATAATGCTGCAACGAAATTGCATCACAATGCTTTGCAGACCATTGTGATGTCATTGGTTACCATGACGTAGCAATTAAATGACATCACTCAGGCTCTGCTGCTGAAGCTGTTAGCACTATGTTTTACACATAAGACACTGCTAATTACTGTCTTCAAACTGAAAAAGTTGGAAGAATAATGTTGGATGACAAATAAAATCTCACACCGTGTCTTTTGATAACAAATATATCAACACTGGTTAACATATTTGATATCAAATGACACTCAGGTGAGATTCTCTATGTATCATACCTACCGTATTCGACGTAAGAAGCGCCAAGGGCGCTCTTAAAATTAGAAATAGGGGGCTCTTATTAGAATATAATTTTGGTGAGATTAAAAACTAGGTTGAAAAATTGTAAATTTGTGGTTTATGCTGACAGCCTGAAATGATATAAAAGAAGAATCTGTGCGTATAATACACGACAGATATATTTTTCCAGAATTTAATTGCCCATAATAAGGGTGCATATAAAAAACGAGTGCGTATTATACACGAATAAATAAGTATTGTGTACATTGATCAATCGGAAGGGATGCTAACTGGGATTGTTCACTAGCCAATATATTAGCAAATATCGCCGTGGGCGCTTATTATGTCGAATACGGTATGTTCTATCACGATGTCTACCCTGGACCAATTTGCCACCTTAGCTTCATCTTTAGGCAGGTTTCAATGACACAATGCTTAAAATAGCCATCCAATCAAATGACACTGTTCTACCATGATTTATTTCCATCTCACCTGTACTCGTACTCGCTTGCCGTCGCAAATACAACTGGAACATCTTATAACTGTAGGGGTGTGTCATTTCAATACACTGAGGTCTTGCACAGATGAGGCCTGCGATTTTGAATGTAGATATATGCTGAACAGAAGAACAGAAGAGACATTTTGACTGGTTGTTGATCGAGAACAACTCTGCACTAAGTTAGTAATAATAATAATAATAATAAGAAGAAGAAGAAGAAGTCCATTTGTATTGCTGAAAATCATGCACAAAGCAAATTATTATCCCGGTCAAAGGATCAGTGTGTACATGAACTTATTCTCAGCTTTCTAGGGAGTATAGAAGGCGTAAGAAGGTTAACAGTCACACTGCCATCTCATCCTACCAGGTACCCATTCACTGCTGGGTGAACAGAGGCGTAATTCAAACAAAGCCACTTGGCCAAGGACACAACACATGTTGCATGTGCTTCAGTGTGCACAGGGAGATGCCGACATCACTTATACTATAGGCTATGGTGGTGAAAGGGTCCAGGGTATATCCTAATATCCTAATAGAGATGGTGAGGTGAGGTGAGGTGAAATGGGGTTAAACATTGCATTCAAGATTATTGCACTTATATAGCAACGTGCATGCTCGTGTGTGTGAATGCTTGTCCTGGTCCAGACTAATGCCAATTTTATAATGCTAGCCCACTGAGATACCAAGCCGTAGTTCAACATGGATGCCAAACTTAGGCACAGTATAATGACTCCAAGCCTTAATGGCAAGTGCCAGGCATGGTAACAACAAGTACCAAGTACAACTCTTTTGGTATAACACGGCCGGGAATCAAACCCCGGAACTTCCGCTCCCTGGGCCGACATTCTATGACTAGACCACGGATGTGGTCCACAATAGAATAGACATAGAATACACTGAATAGTCAAGGATGTATGTTTGTGTACAGTCTAAGGTCACAAATCCATTACCACAAATCTAAAAATACACAAGTACTTAGATTAACAATATAGTACATTGCCATTCCAAACTCTTAAAATTTAATGTATGGCCAATGTAATAGGCAAAATTATTCCAATCGTTGGTAGGGCTGTGTGTTGACCTGGATTTTGTATTGCAATATATTGCCATACTTTAACCTGTATTGCGATACGTATTGCAACATATTGCCAATTTACATTTTCATGAGTTAATCAGAGTTATACCCTGTATAAATGTCAGATACCATCAAGCTCCTTCCCAGCGTGTGACACCTTCGTTATACTCTCGGTATAGAGAGCTCCATGAACGGGCTGTTGCTGTGAGGAGCTTGATAGTTGCGATGTGTACACGTTAATTAATAGAAAGATCGTCAGAGGCAAGTTGTATCAGAAAGATACTATTTTCTATCTCCATATCGATTAGGTACACATAAATATTATACTTATTTATATTTGCCCCAATATATTGCTATATTTACAAACGTATCGCAATACATATTGCTTAAGATTGCACATATGTTGAAGACATTAAGTGAGTGAGTGAGTTGGGTTTAACGCTGCGTTTTACAGTATTACAGTTATATTGCGGCGGGTCAGCTTAATGTGGGAGAAAAGCCCAAAGTGATGCACGTCTCAGACCTCAGTGAAACCTACGAGCACGGGTATGGTGCTGACAAACCTAGAAACCTAATCAGGGCAAACCGGGATTCCAACCCATAATCATAGGTTTCTGGCGTACCAATACTCCAATACGATACCTCTCTGCAAACCCTGAGCAACCTTTGCCTGCCTAATTGACAATTATTTGAACAATATGGCATTTGCACTTTGCAGTTGGACATCCCAGGTTGTATTTGTTTTCGAGATAGAGAAAAAAGATATGCTTGTCTGAATGCTTTGCTCACTCGGAGCGAGAGTTTACAAGCCACAAGCTGAGTGGCTGATTAGAAAGTTCACCTGAAGAGAGGGTCCTCAGGTCTTCGTGCAGAGCTATCGTATTGGAGTAAAGATAGGACTTTAATGAGACTGACATCATAGCGAAGTCAGCCACAGCAAACCCACTTGTGAACCTCAAGAGGGACAATGTTATTGTTTATGTGAGTAAGCAAGTAACTTAGCAACATTACAGCAATATCACAGCGGGGACATCAGAAAAGGGCTTCACACACTGCACCCATGATAGGAAACACTTCAACCACTGAGCTACCCCCTACTCCTGTTGTTTATGTGAATAACAAACACTGGCTATAATAAACTGACTCCTTGGAGTTTATATCTGGAGTTGAGTGCATTTCAGAGTGTTTGGTATTATCAATTCTTCATGTTGAAGGAAAGTTGAAATTTGAAACTGTTTTTTAACCTGACAAAAAATATATAACACCAATACATTTCCCACTATACACTTGGCCTCCAACCAAGAAAGCACCCTTTCAGAATAAACCCAGAGACAACCGTAGCATTGTACCACAATCAGTCTTCAGTTAATGACAATAGTTAGTGTATCAGCATTGGTGTGGCATTTATGCGTGGAAAAATCCTGTTTCAGACATCAGGGGAGATCACTCTGTTTTTCCAAGCCTTGCCCGGGAAGGGGAGGGGGGGTCAAAGCTACCAGATAGAAAAATAAGACGGTCCTGAGAAACCTATTCTAGTGTAGAAAATATTTGCAAGGTTGAAAAAAGCAGACTAAGTCAATTTGTACAGCTTTTGTAATCTATTGCTTTATCGACAAATGCTAAAACGACTTCTGTATGTTGGGAGTACTGTTTGTACAGAATTTCACAAAATTCAGCGGCCTTTTCAAGGCTCTCTAACCAAAACACATGGCAATGCATACAACCTTACAAATACCACTCGGTCATTTACAGCTCTATGGCTAATAATTTACTAACTAGATTGTATACAGATACAAAATTCAGAGTTCTCAACACATTCACATTTTTTTCAATGCATGAAAGTATTTATTTCTTTATAATTTTCCAGATTCTGATTGGTGAGCATGGTGAGGAAATTCAAGGCCTTTTTCAATACACATCACCCATTTTCAAGGCAGAATCTCAATTCAAGGCCTAAAGCCTGTGTGAACTTTGTACTAACAAAGTCTTTGGCCAAATTTCTGTAAGTACTTGGATCATGGGTAAACATACCCAAACCTTTCAGAAAGTGGAAAGAAATAATTTTGTCTCTTTATACTTTCACAGGTCATGCAGAGTTCTTTTTCACCAAAGGGGCGGATGTAAAACCGTGGGGTTCTTCACCAAATAGTTTGTTGGTTGTTTAACGCCGCACTCAGCAATATTCCAGCCATATGGCCGCGGTCTGTAAATAATCGAGTCTGGACCTGGCTATCCAGAGATGGACATCATGAGCATCGGACCACGCAATTGGGACCGATGACATGCATCAATCAAGCCAGCGAGCCTGATGAGCCGATCCCGTTAGTCACCTCTTATAACAAGCATGGGTTGCTGAAGACCTATTCTACCCCGGATTTCACGGATGCAGCTACCAGTCAGAGGGGTGGACAAGAAAGCCAGTACTGTGTAGTTTATGTCCAGTACATAGAAAATATTAAATGGTGATTTGTTCAGTATTATTCTTTTGCCCAAAAACCGGGTCCTGCCAAATTAGTGAGTAGATATACTTCATGCCAGTCAGCAAAATTCCAGCTATTTCATGGCAACCTGTAAATAAACAATTGGTTGATGGAACCAGCAACTATCCATACTTTCAGGGCATGATGACATGAAATCATCAATGCCACCCATTGCGGACACCCAGTTTTCAGTACCCTAACGACAAACGCGGGCTGTGACCTTAGCGACTAGTTCAAGCCCAGCTAATAGTTGTCGAAGGAAGATACGACAATCATACCAATAAGATCTTACTGCAAAACAGGTACAAGACACATACAGGAGATTCATGACGACAACTAAATCAGATATTAGTGATTTGATTCCTCCACTGTGTACTTCATGGCACTCGAACAATCTTTCACAGGAAGAAAACGCTTAAGACGGTTTTATCAAAGTCTCTGTGTGTGAACAGTCACTCCATGTGATAAACATCTTTGGCACTATCTTCACTATGCTGAAAATCGATCCTCTCCCCGAAGCCGCCGAGCTAGCCACATGTCCTTGGGCATGATGGTCACCCGCTTGGCATGGATGGAACACATGAGAGAATCCTCGAACAGGTACACTAGATATGCTTCAGCGGCCTGAAAACAACAACAGGGTATCTTTACTGTGTTCAGGGATGTATCTGGGCCTGCACAGAGGCAGATATTCGGCCCAAAGTCTGCAGCAATTGTCAGTACAAATTCCCAAAGTGGACTTACAAATTTCCCAATTCATGGAGCTATATAACAAATGTTATATTCGGGATAACTCTTTCTTAGTAAAGTACAGATTCTAGTATTTTTTTGCATTGAATTCCCACCGGGATTCGAACCCACATGATGGTCAGTTGGGGAGTGTGGGGATGGGGACTCAACCCAAAAAGGTACTAAATTCTGTACTTTACTAAGAAAGTGATATTCCAAACATAACATTTGTTACATTTGACCATATTTAAATGGTATTATGTATTCATGAAGTGATAGTTAACTAAATTAATCCATGTTATGGCATTGTAGAGGGGACTTGTATTTCACTGATAACAGGACCAATCTAGCTCGTCATCTCATAAGGTGGTATTCTATCTCACAATCATGTTGGGACAATAGGTAATCATTTGGTAAGTACTTTAGGAAGGTTGTTAATTGTTTAACCAATCTCCTGGAATATTACCTCTTGTAGAGCCATAATAGCAGTGGCCTGCCAGTTCAGGGGCTCTCTGAACATATTGCTGGCAATCTCTCGCACCTGAAAACACAGACCCGTTACACATGTACACACAGAGCAGTTGACAGATTTGGATATTCAGATTTGACAGATTCAGAAATGACCTACGGGCTTTCAGTACTGAGTATTGAACGCCTTCTCATTTTCAATGAGGCTAAAAAAAATAATAGTCTTGGTTCTCAGGCACTGCCCACATCATCATAAAGTTCATTGCATGTTTCTATTTTGTTTCCAGCAGTTACTTCCATGCAACTAGCCCTGATATTCTCACCACCCGAGAGAAGGGTAACTTCCTGATGAGTAGATCTGTTGACTTCTGGAACTTCCTTATCTCCATCAACGCCTTGGTGCCTGGCCTGTATCGCCGCTTGCGGGGGCTCTGTCCTCCTGGGCTCCTGTCGCCCTTCTTGGAGTGGCCTCCCTTTTTCCCACTCCCTGTTAAAAGAAACAAAACTCAAGTTTTGGGGAAGTTCTTTATTACTCATGGATATAACCATTTTTCACCTTGAATCTATTAACTGGTATATTTCTTACAATTATAACGTTTTCATGCTTAATCATGTGTCTGAAGGTAATTCAGCCAGATGTGATTACCTCCCTTGAACATACGGCTTGACTACTTCCAACCCATTTCTCCAGATTTGATCTTTTTTCACGACCTTGTTACACATGAAAGTTTGGAGTTATACCAGTATTATTATAATCAACATACAAGCTCTGCAGTTAGCAAATGAAACGACCCTACATTATGTAAGAATTTTGAAACATTAATCCCTCTCTAAGTCAAGATTACTGTTGTTCCTTTTCAAAATGAATATTCTATTTCTTTCTTTTTTAAGGTGAGTTTACACTTCGTTTGAAAGATGATGAATGTGTAAAATCAGGTCTGAAATGCTCTAGTTAAGTTCCAACAGAGTTATGGAAATTGACCCCCTCGAAAAACTATTAACAAGAGGTCACTCAAACTTTTTTGTGTTTCTTGTTTAACGTCATACTCAGCAGTATTCCATCTATATGACTGTGGTGTGTAACCAATCCAGTCTGGACCAGACTGTACAGCGATTGATATGGTGAGCAATGATCCACACCAATTGGGTATGATGACATGCAAAGAACCAAGTCACTGAGCCTCCCCAACTGATCCATTTAGTAAACTCTTCCAACTAGCATAGGTTGCTGAGGACCTATTCTTACCAGGAATCCCCACGAGGTTCATTTGCTAATGCTAATAAAGAATGTGTTGCTTCTTGAGCCAATTAGATGTATTCCAAAAATGTTCAGCTTCAGTTCAGCTTCTTTATTTGGAAAACACAGACCACACTTATTCCTTTGATGAAACTCCCTTATGGGTGTAGATCAATCTCACTGAAATCAAATCTTAGTTCTGGCAACAGCTAAAAAAAGATCAGAGGACATTCCTATAAGGGAACAATCTTTTGTGAACTTTGACTGATCAATGAAATAACTAATAAGTCAACATTAGCCAGTCAGAAAGCTGCTTTCTCGAGCTTTACAGTGCTTGTTTCAAACTTGCGACTTCCATTCCTGGCAACGCTTTGAAAAATATGGATTCAAAATTTTATAGCTGAACAAAATAAATTCTGGGGTGTCTAATCATGCTAACAGATGGTTGATATTGTATGGCAGTACTTCCAACGGGCTTTGGAAAGTCTCTTCCGTTTTCAATCTGCATCCCATTGAAGCGAGAGAATGTAAAGCCCGTAACTGTCTTTCAGAATACCATGTCTTAATTTTTTCGAGGTTGCATCATAACATAATACATTACGCTGGTTACTTTCCCGATCTGGTCAGAGACGCTCTGATTGGTCGGATGAAAGGTCGTTCTGACGTGAACCTCAGATCTTTGTTTATCTGCAGCGAAACTGAGATCTGATTTTAATGAGATGGGGTGTAGGTGCCAAATGACACAGAGTGAAAATATCCACAACAATATGGTGGTAAGGACTACATATGAAACTTGAAATCAAATATGCATCCTTCGCCCATTCATACAATTTAAAAACCTTGATGCTGATTCACTGCCCAGAGAGAGCTGACACGACCTACTGTGGTGGGGTGCCCAGATCTTCAAGCAGAATGGTATCGTAATAAGCAAAAGATCTGATTATAATATATTGGGTCTCCAGAAACCTTTATGCTTTTTGTTGGTTAGTAACTTGGTGTCTTGGATGAACGTATGTGTCATCATACCTGGGAGGGGGGGGGGCGCGGGTGGCCCTTTCGTCTAAGGCACCACAATTCGATGTGCAGAGTTGCCTCCCTTGGGCACACCAGAAACCTGTGATTGGGGGTTCGAATCCCGGTTCACCTCAATTATGTTTCTAGGTTTGTCAGCACCATATCCATGCTTGTTGGTTTCACCGAAGTGGTTAACGTCTGAGACCTGCATCACTTTGGGCTTTCCTCCCACATTAAGCTGACACGCCATGATATAACTGGAATACTGTTAAAAGCGGCGTTAAACCCAATTCACTCACTGTCTGGCCCAGAGTCGATTATTTACAGGGCGCTGTCATTTAGCTGGAATATTGACGAGTGTGGCATTAAACAACAGAGAAACCTAAAGAAGATCATAGTATTTCGCACGTTTGGAGAGTCTCATTATGTGTTATTGTTAACGAAAAGGACGATGTTTGAGCAGAATGAGTTACTCACTGCTAAGTTGATTCCGTCCGCGCAAAGACCTTGGGGCAGACATTCATTCATGGTACTAACTGTGGCAATTAAAAGCACGAACAACTTTACGATATGTATAAATGATTGACTTTATCAGTGATAGTTGACACCCTGGTTGCAGTCCTAATCTATAATTATGTAGCAACGGTGTCATAGAACACATCCTATTCGGACAGTTTCACAAACCATCATCGTCCCCCGGAGTTCGTCGTGCAGGCGATGGTTGTTTTCTCTTTCTGGAGGAACTTTGGCTTATTCTGGGCATGTTGTCTGTTTCATGACAGCATCATTTGAATGAACCGCTTCCGGTTATTTGGAAATTAAAAAGTTAGATTGGTATTAAAACGGAAAAGAATCTCTTACGCTCGGGTAATCTATGCGACTGTGCAGCAGCTTATGTGTTATATTTGTGAGTATTATCTTTCTCAACGATGACTTTTCATTAATAGTTTTCTTACATATCTTAATTTGAACTCGCAGCTATAGATCTACACATTTTATGGTCAAAAGAGTAGATCTAGTACTTATCAGCTCATGGGAGAATAGAAGTTTCATTGTTAAATGGAACTGTATCTGTGCCTAGGATCCAAACTATTCTTTCGATATGTTTTGTTTTATTCGTTTCATTCATAGTTTCTAATATTGTGTTTAGTTCCTAGACTGGTACACTGTCTACCGACTGCACATGGTAGTGCAGCGAGAAGCGCAAGCGCTCTAGGACAAGTCAAACCAGTCTAGTTTAGTTCCACTTGTTCTAGTTATCTCCCTTCCACTAACCAAGAACCAAGCTCCTTCCCAGCGCGTGACACCTTCGTTACACTCTCGGTAACATCGCTGCCACCAGTGTGGGCGCGGCCATTTCAAGAATCTTGAAATTTGCCCTCCAACCCCATATGTAGTAACGTTTATACTTTTGTTTATGTCTTTGGGAATGCAATCATATTTCAATTTGAAAAGGTTTACGACTGACCATGTTTGCCAGATGAATTTACTTTGTTGTTTTGATAATCAGATTGGTTCGAGATTGCAGACTAACGGAAAATCAACCAACTTCTCCCTTACATTCTTACTATATCAATAACACGATAGTTTTAATGAAACAGAAATTCAAATTGACAAACGAAGAAAGTAATTTAGCTGCGATAAGTGTATTCGGCGTCACGACAGTCGTCACCTGTTTGTAAACATAACGGTCATTCGGTTGCGAGTTCAACTCCAAGCATGGTTGTGGCCACCTATTCACAGTGGAGAGTTTTGACTGGTGGCAGCGATAGTATAGAGAGCTCCGGGAACGTACTATCGCTGTGAGGAGCTTGAACCAAGAACATCACAAGAGACATGAAATATCGCGCGAAGTTTCGTAAAATGTATTTGATAACTACTTTCACAGAGATCTTAATATTTATTGCACAATACAATTCTCTCTTCTAATTTTTGTTTTCCTGATGCTGATTTCATGTGATATAGAGCTGGCTAGTCTTGATTTTATATGATCTGGATTGGTTTTGGTTTCATCAAATACATATATCCCACAGTCATGGTGCAGGACTACGGGGTCAGACCCTGAATAGATCACGGAAAAAAACTATTTATTTGTCAAATAAGTGAGTGAGTTGTGACTAACTACATTTTGAACATAACAGCTTTGTGTAGGAGGAACGCTTAAAGACCAAGATTCGGAATCAAGGAAAATCTGGGAATGAGGAATCTGCATTTAGGAAGGTGGTATAAAATATACATTAATTTCTAACTCACATTGCATGATACACATACATGGACAAATTTCGTACGACATCAATGTTAACTCAAGATTTTAGAGAGACAAATTTGTCGATATTTGGACGAACATAAAACTGCCTTTTTAAATATTTATTTCTCAGATTATCGTATCCTGTATTTTCATAGATTAACGTTTGAGCGTTAGTATGCGATTAGAAAAGCTTATGATGATAACATTTACTGGACTATAAAAGGAATGGTGTAAGCCCCAAGCCTCGGCGGGTTAATGATCCGCAATTCCTATCTAATTATTCAGTTTATTAATAATTTTCATAAAGTAAAGTAATCATATGAAATGTCATTTCTGAAGCGAAATTCATTGAGGTGTTTACTGTTTAGATGAAGTGTAGTGTCAGGAGGGATGGGTGAGCAGGCGAGGTTCATCGCGAACAATGGATGACATCATATAATATATCTGCCATTTTTATCGCTCGGGTTTTAAATGTCGGAAGTGTTTTATCATTCACTTGAAAAACAATCGTCAATTGTACAACATTCTGGTTGGCCATTAGGAAATTAACAACGGGCCTCAAATAAACGCGATCTAATATTACGTCGGTGTGAACAAGCAAACGCCCAACCGCGTATTAGAGGAAATCCGGTATGTATCACTTTCTCACTCGGACGTGGCTGTAACCTGGTCACAGTCTATTATACAGACCTGAAACAAATATATGCAATACAGCCCACATAAGTCTATAATAGTAAGCAAGTCTAGAAAACAAGGAGAGTCTTTGAGCTTCTTTTTTATTATATTTTCCAAGGATAATTTTATTTCTGATTTTTTTCCTGTGAAATATATTCATTTCAGAGACTAGCTGTTAGTCTAGCCCGGTTGGTGCTTCAGTACTGAGGTTAAGCTCAGACGCCAGGTCTGCGCGGAATGTACGAAGCGGTCGTAAAATATACCAGTCCTAGTCGTGTTTGGTCGATGAACTGTCACCGTTCTACAGCGACAGTATGGACACACACACACGAACGCACGCACGCACGCACGCACGCACGCACACACACATCTTTATTCATTTATAGTAAACATGATAAACACTAAACAGAGAAATGTGACACTTTGAGGGACACAATATTTTGCCTCAAGTCTGTCACCATAGGGGGCACGGGTGGCCCAGTCGTCCAAGGCGCCGCGTTTCGCTGTGCAGAGTTGCGTCCCTTGGGCACGCCAGAAACCTATGATTGTGGGTTCGAATCCCGGTTCGCCCCGATTATGTTTCTAGGTTTGTCAGCACCATACCCGTGCTCGTGGGTTTCACCGAAGTGGTAAACGTCTGAGACCTGCATCACTTTGGGCTTTCCTCCCACATTAAGCTGATACGCCATGATATAAATGGAATACTGTTAAAAGCGGCGTAAAAACCCAACTCACTCACTCACACTGTCACCATAACATTTCATCAATGGTTGACACTTAAAATTTTGATTGACTTCATTACTAAGACGTGGTATATCTGCGGCGGCGGGGTAGCCTAGTGGTTAAAGCGTCGAAAGCCCGGGTTCTATTCCCTACATGGGAACAATGTGTGAAGCCCATTTCTGGTGTCTACCGTCGTGATATTGCTGGAACATTGCTAAAAGCGGCGTAAAACATACTCACTCACTCATGGTTTATTTAACTAGCAAAGACCACGAGCCGCATCTTCAAAAGTCAGTCAAGAGCAAGTTAAGCTGGAATGGTATCTGGCCTCTAAGTTAATGTTAAAACACGGAAGACCACAGACTGTGACGAAGCTGATTCGAGCTATATTCAATGGCTGCTGAAATCAACACTTGTGAATGCGAAGTGTGTCTTGTTGATTAGGAAAGCTTTGACATACAAATAAAAGAAAATGACAAACTAAAAGCCAATCTGACCACATATAACGTATAAAGTATTTATGTTTTTACTGCTTACACATATGCTTGAATATTCATTTGAACCCAAAGTGATATAATGCACCGCGCAGAGTTGCGTACCTGAGTAATGCCAGGATCTGCTGATTCTGTTGAATCCAAAATTCGCCCGATTGTGCGACGTGGTTCTCCTGCACCAGACCAATCAATGCTTGTGGGTTTCACTTGAATGGTAACCATCTACGACCTGCATCATTTAAAGCTTTCTCTAAAATGTAAGCTGACACGCGTCGATGTCACTACCATGCATATAAGGTGGCGTCAACCCGACTCACTCACGAACTATAACCTCGATTTGGATTTAAAATAATGAAACAAGTATGACAATACATGAGGATTGAATGGTAGGAATTGTGATTCAAACACAAGCAATGAGGATTGAATGGTAGGAATTGTGATTCAAACACAAGCAATGAGTATTGATTGGTAGGAATTGTGATTCAAACACAAGCAATGAGGATTGAATGGTAGGAATTGTGATTCAAACACAAGCAATGAGTATTGATTGGTAGGAATTGTGATTCAAACACAAGCAATGAGTATTGATTGGTAGGAATTGGTGATTCAAACACAAGCAATGAGGATTGAATGGTAGGAATTGGGGATTCAAACACAAGCAATGAGGATTGAATGGTAGGAATTGGTGATTCAAACACAAGCAATGAGGATTGATTGGTAGGAATTGGGGATTAAAACACAAGCAATGGGGATTGAATGGTAGGAATTGGGGATTCAAACACAAGCAATGAGGATTGATTGGTAGGAATTGGGGATTCAAACACAAGCAATGAGGATTGAATGGTACGAATTGGTGATTCAAACACAAGCAATGAGGATTGATTGGTAGGAATTGGGGATTCAAACAAAAGCAATGAGGATTGATTGGTAGGAATTGGTGATTCAAACACAAGCAATGAATATTGATTGGTAGGAATTGGGGATTAAAACACAAGCAATGAGGATTGAATAGTAGGAATTGGTGATTCAAACACAAGCAATGAGTATTGATTGGTAGGAATTGGTGATTCAAACACAAGCAATGAATATTGATTGGTAGGAATTGGGGATTCAAACACAAGCAATGAGGATTGAATGGTAGGAATTGGGGATTCAAACACAAGCAATGAGCATTGAATGGTAGGAATTGGGGATTCAAACACAAGCAATGAGGATTGAATGGTAGGAATTGGGGATTCAAACACAAGCAATGAGGATTGAATGGTAGGAATTGGGGATTCAAACACAAGCAATGAGGATTGAATGGTAGGAATTAGTGATTCAAACACAAGCAATGAGTATTGATTGGTAGGAATTGGGGATTCAAACACAAGCAATGAGGATTGATTGGTAGGAATTGGGGATTCAAACACAAGCAATGAGGATTGAATGGTAGGAATTGGGGATTCAAACACAAGCAATGAGGATTGAATGGTACGAATTGGGGATTCAAACACAAGCAATGAGGATTGAATGGTAGGAACTAGGGATTCAAACAAAAGAAATGGGGATTGAATGGTACGAATTGGGGATTCAAACACAAGCAATGAGGATTGAATGGTAGGAATTGGGGATTCAAACACAAGCAATGAGGATTGAATGGTAGGAACTAGGGATTCAAACAC